CAGCTTCCCGTTCGATTTCAACACCGTCAATGATTCGAATACACTATTTTGTTTTAAATTAATATGAAATAAATTTTGAATACAGTAATCAACTGGTTTTCCTATTCTCCCATATGGAAGGCATACGGCTCATTATACGAAACGCACGGTTCCGCAAAAAATGCTTCCATTATGCTTCCATATAACTAGCATATAAGATTCCTATGATATCCACAGCCGTTCCACTACGCTTCCATTGTGCCTCTGCCGCCGTTCATCTGTGTTAATCCGATCACTTACCACTGAACCATCGCTGCTTGCTGCCGACCCATCGAAACGTGGTATTTGTGCGTGGTGTTGAAGAATGACAAAGGTCATGAAACAAAGTAAAAAAAAAACAATGGTTCAAAATTTGAAACTTCGGACCCAAAGTTTTGCGACTTTTTCGAACTTTTGCAGAAAACGGCATAGCACACTCGATAGGAAATTTCACGATCCACAGATAAACGGCGGCATAGGCACAATGGAAGCATAATGGAACGGCTGTGGATATCATAGGAATCTTATATGCTAGTTATATGGAAGCATAATGGAAGCATTTTTTTGCGGAACCGTGCGTTTCGTATATGGAATGAGCCGTAGGCCTTCAATATGGGAGAATAGGAAAACCAGTTGATTGCTGTATTTAAAATTTATTTCATATTAATTTAAAACAAACTAAAAAACAACAATGAAATGTATTACAATTAAGAGATAATCAAACCATTTTGCACACAAACAGATCTGTTTGTGTGCAAAATTAGAAAAAATTCCAAACCACTAACAAGGGAGGTCATTTTGCTGTCCGTCTTAAAATTTTTTTATTTTTTGCATACAGATTCTTTAGAAAGTTTCCAATCGAATGAACTAGGTCCCTACCTGCGCAAACTTCTAGTTATCGAGATATGGACTTTCAAAGTTTTAGCCCCTCCCCACATGAATCGTTTAACATCGTTTAACTTCAACCAGTGAGAGGCAAAAGTATATATCTAGAAACAAAAACTCACCGATTCATTCATTTCGTTATGAGCCATCGAAACCGGCAAAATACTTTTTAATTACATAAATGCAAAAATATAAACAAATCGTGTAGATTATTCGAAATTGAATATACAAACTAATAACAAACTTGATGATACTAAATATGGTGGATGGTGCGCTTGGGGAAACAACTTAATAAACTGAAATAATACGACTAAAAGCATAAATAATTGACTAAACCGGTGTTTACGAATGGGGACTTGCATTTAAATAAAGGTGAACTTCGGCCGCGGCCCTCTTTTTGCTGGACATTGCCCGATGGCATGATGGCGTGCGTCTCTTCATTTCGCACTCTCTCTCGCCCACCGTCTCATCGTCTCGCCCACTCTCCCATTTCCACATTATCTCTACATTACAAAACAACGAATATCAATATGGAGTGGAACAGTTAGAACGCATAACGGTGAATCGACAGCAGCGAACTTAGACACATCGATCTTAGGAAAGGAAGTCTCGAGCCGTGGTATGGTCACCGCATCGGTATCGGGCGACCTGCAACAAGAAATTTTAATAATCAGCCATCGGTCGCCACGGCTTCCAGTGGAGCCGTTATATTAAATATTAATTAAATTTTGTGTCGTACCGTTTCAGCCAGGAAGTGTCGATCAGTAAATAGTCCTTTGTTTGTGCGTGACATTTTCACTCGAAAAAAATTGTCACGTAATTGGTCCGTATTTTGTCCGTGATGCCTTTCAAAGAAATATTTCGTCCGTACTTGGCCCGTTTTTTAGCCGTGGCGTTTCATCCTAAAATCAAGGTCCGTAATTAACACGTTTTAAAAACGTTTTTTAAATATTCGAATGCCATCAAAAATTGTTAGGCCTTGCAAAACATTTGTGAGGAATATTTTGAATAAACGAAAAGTTTCGAAAATTTCCGGTCGAATCTTGAAATTTGATTGATCAGGATTAGTTTTGAAAGTGCTTGCATTCAAAAATCTTATTATATATATAAAATATCTCAAAACTAATGCTTAAGTTAATGTCGATGTTCTAGAATTTTGTTGAAACGGTCTCACTTTTGATGAGTTTGATAAGTAGCTTATCTGTAGTACGGTACACGAACTCCCATTGTTCAAATTCAAATTTAACTTATGACAAAATACGAAAACGGTATCAAATGAGAATGGAGTTAATTTGAAACATCAATAACTAAAAAAACGGTCTACTGGTTGAACTGATCCTCTCACATGGGACCTATTAATTTTACTTTTGAAAATGAAATTTATTGCTCAAAAATAGAATTGAAAGTTGATCCAGAAAGTTATCTGCAAAATGATGGCAATTGTCAGCAAAAAAAACAGGGCCGGGCCGGGGGCCCAGTTTGAATTGCCGCTGACGCTAATTACACTAAACAATAAGTAGCGTAAGCGCGGAGCGTCGTTTCTCGTTGTTTTTTCTCTCATTCTATTGACGCTTTTCAACTTTTATCATGTAATTAGCGATTAAATGTCAATTAATTTCCGGCCCGGCCCTATAGGGCCCAGGGCCCATTTTGACGACACTGGTTTTCATTTTTCAACAATTTTCAACGTTTTTAGTGTATTTTAGATTGTTTATTGTTCTCAAAGTGTCAGAATATCATGAAAATCATAGAAATTTATATAATCACGGTTTAAAGGGGTGTGAATATACGAGTATCATTTTGCGCTATACTCACATATAAATTTTATGCTTTTTTAAATGACATTCAACAAAGACTTGAAGCCATTAATCAACTACGACCTTCTAGAGCTCGTTAAATTACTAAAAATAAAAAAATTCCGTGGAGTCTTTATGCGATATACTTTACCAACACAAGGAATTAAAGAAAGAGAAGTAGGCATGTAATCAACAAACTCCTTTTCCTCTAGTTATTGTTTGACAGGCAGTAAACGAGCTGAGAAACATAAAAGTGTATAAATTATTTATCAGGACATGTCAACAAATCATAAATTAAAATAACGAAAAAGCAATCGAAAATAGGAAAACTTCAATCTGACTCCGTAGCTGAGCCGCCGATAGACGACACTGGCGAGATGGCATCTTCCAGAACAATGAGAGTATTCTCCATCAATGTCAGCGCAGCTTGTTCTTCAGGGTTAGCTGCAGGTCCTATAAAATAAAATAATTGCATGTCTGTAATCAAAATAGTAAAATATACAAAGAATTAACAAATATTTTTAAATACCAATGTGAGCTGCGTCGGCCAGAATGGCAGCGGCAATGGCTTGTCGTTCAAATCGCAGAAACAGGCGTTTGAGCGTCGAATTCTAAATACAATAGTCATTTGTTAATTGAGTAGGTATACACTTTATATCTATAAGTCCAATATTATAATTTATTGTTAACGGAATAATAAAGAAACATACGACGTCGACATTGGGGGAGAGGATGCTCGGATCGTTGTGGCCACGAACTAAATAAAATTTTTTGATAATTCCAGGTAAATTTTTAAATTTATCAATTAGGAATAATGTTTTTAAAGTGGTTGTAAAAGAAAGGAAAAGTTTAGAGGGTTTGCATACCGGACGGGTGTCGAAGGTGTGTATCAATGATTTCAATTTTCTGGAGAAGATTCTGCGACAGCACACTTTGTGTGGCATAATCCATGTCCCAGAGCCTATGAAAGACACACGATGAATTAAAACCCAAAGTAAAAAAAAACAAATAAAGAAGTTAGAAATCATATTCTCACTTTTCCTGAACCTTCATACGAACTGAACGGAATAGTGCAGAAATGGAACGTCCTTGTACCTAAAATAAATTGTTCGTATAAAATACATGTATAAGAAGTAGAAACTTAAAATTTAACTTACAGAAACGAAGTGTTGACGATTCATGATTATGTCAGCAAGCTGTAAGCATAATCGATTAGTTCGAGAGAGAGAGAGAGAGAGAGAGACGGAAAACAGGAATAATTGTTAACAAACTCAAAAGTAAGGGGAAAATAACAATGATTCAATGCGAACTACAGAAAAAAAAGGAAGTCTCTTTTCTATTCACAGAAGTCACAAAAATGCGATGTTAGCAGTTTCAAAGTTACCTCTGCGTCTCTGCTCACGCATCACTCTCACCGCCTTCCACTCTAGCCCAACGCGTTAGTGAGAGAAGGTAGAGAAAGAGAAATTGTCAGGGCAACGACTTCACAAGTATCAGTCTTCACACACAACTGTAGTATCCGTCTCCACAGGAATAATTCCACTCATTGTCTTCGAAATTAACACATAGAAATATGCAAAGAAAAGTTGAGTCGCAAAACGAAAAATTTGCGCGTCGAAAGAGTGAAATTATTCTCTTCTCTTTTATCGGCGTTGAAGTGCGTGTAACCAAAATCTTTGAAGCCTACGATTTCATCTTGCTCAAAATGAATCCGATGTCGTTGATGTGAGTTCTTGAAACATTGTTTATATTTTGTTGTTAATTTGCACATTTTAGCACAAGCCCTCAATCGCACCTGTGGAAGAGTCGGAGCCATTCACATTAGCCGGATTTGGGAACGATACGGGATATCTTTCATATTTGCCAAGCTCAATTCATTCTGTTCGCCGTCATTACTTTTCCGGATTGGGCCCATTTATTTTGGGAACAAGTCGAAGTTCGTCTGGCGATTCAGGTAAAAACCCCATGAAAGCGAAAACTATGTATGCAGATTACTCAAAAACTAGTTTTCTTTAAAATATTTTCTTTCTCAAAATCAGCATCTATACCATAGAAACTTTGAAATTAAAAATTGTCGAAATGAGACCTAGACTCGTGGTTCCGCACGAGACCATAGCGAAAGGCACACGCTTTGAGATCCATCCGCATATTCAATAAATATTTTGATGCCAAGATTTGTTCACTTTTGAAACTCGACTTCTACGACAATCAATTTTCAAAGAAAAATTGGAATTTGAATTAAATACAGCATTTGTAAATTATTTTTTCTAAACGTTTACAAATACCAAATTCTTTTGTTTGTCACTTATCGAATTTCGGTGTTTGCTGGCCGAACACCTCAAAAACTACGTGAAATGTCTTCACTGTTTTCCGATTTCGCGATAAGTGGCAAAATCCGACACGAGCGATTCTCGAGTTCAAACTACACTGCTTGTAGCGGAAGTTTGGAATGTTGGCGAATTTCGATTCAAATATGTGCTGGCACGAAACAACCAATTTAAGTGATTTCGTTTTTTTTGGACAATTCTCTCTTTTTTCAAATTGAATTTAAAATTAAACGATTATTATTAAAAGATAATAAAAACGAAATTTAAAAAAAAAACTATTCAATATTTGTTTTTTCTAAAATATTTTCATCGTAACCCTCCTATGAAAAATACTGACATTACTGCTGCTGTTAATCGACGACCGACTATTCGATGCTCGACTTTTGAGCGGATTGCCAGCTTTTGCATTGGTCTCTTTCGCTTCGCCCTGTTTTCCTTCCAAGTCAAGAATACTTTTCAAGAATTTCTGTTTCGCAATGCCCTCGGGCATCCGCGACAAAATAAACGCATGGATTTGCGATATTTTGTGCATCGACGAGTCGCGACTCAAAGGCGCCGATGTCGGCGGCGTCGAGCCGGGCGACGTCGACGACGCACCGCGATCCGAGACGGTGCGAAGCGAGAGCTTGTGCCGAGGAGGACCTCCTGGCGGAAGAGGCGCCCGCGGCGGACGGCCGTCGTTGCTCGATGAGCGTTTGAGAATATTTTGGAAGTAGGATTCCGACGTGTAGTTCATTGAACTATGCGACGTCATTTGAGTGGCATCAATTATCACTGAGAACGAATAATAGACTCTGTATTCCTTATTTCCCTAGGTCTTCTGAAAAGCAAACGATTGAATCAAATCTAGGAGGAAGCAAAAAAAAAGACCAGCTGATAAAACACAAAAATGTCGAGCAAAAAACGGCGAGTGCGTTGAAAACTCGAAAAGCTTGCTTCTAAGAACAAAAAGAAGAGTTACGGTGCGAGGATTGTTTAGGCGCCTGCGGAGAGCAAAACGGTCTCGGCACGACTAATAACTTATTAAATGCGGAGGGCGCAGACATGTACCAAATGATGTAGTACTAGGTCGGGTACTTGTGCGCGAGTGCCGTTTGACACTTTTCGAAAAACGTCAACTTGAACGTGCTCTTCAATTTTTTCACTCACGATGTTTACGGTAGCTCTGATCGAAAATCGCTTACCTCGTCGGCATCAGGCTTCGCGCTTTCACTTCGTTGCGCGGTTTCGAGTTCGGAAGCGTCGGGACGCTCGCTCGCCGATTTCTTCGCCGATGGCGCCGGACTTTTCGATTTGGATTTACTTCGTCGCACTTTTCTCTTCCCTGTTTGAAGAGATTGACTCTTTTCCTCCTCACTTCGTCGGTACTCCTCTTCAATGCTTTTGCGGTGTTTAAGCAGCTCCTCTTCAATATCTAAAAGATGACCATCATGAAGCAAAATGGTTTGGGCCGAACCGGGAGTCGAACCCGGGACCTCTCGCACCCGAAGCGAGAATCATACCCCTAGACCATTCGGCCACTGAAAGGCGATGCGAGAGACGGCACACAAGAGTGCGGCAGTGTCTCGTCGCCTCGCCTCTTACTTACCAGACTGGTCAAGTTTGACCATTGCGCTGGATTGACTCTCGCCGTACTCGCATTTCGCATGACACATGTAGAGACCTAAACATCTTGCTTCTTAATCTCGTGTTAAAAATCGCGTGCCTGTCTTCTCTTCCGTCAAATTTTTGACTGTAAGTCTGGCTATCGATCCATTGAATGATTGCACATATTCAGAACTATTTTGCAACAAAGATCCGTCTCTGAATTATACGAGATTTTCGTTGAATTCAAACAATACAAATAAAATATGCTAACCTGTACCATTCAATAATAGTAGATGAATGGCATTGCCATTGAACTTCAAGCATTACAGAACTTCCTGGTTTACCAGTCTAAAGATAGAATATATTAAAATACGGATGAGACGATGCAATTGTGAATACCTGTGATCGACTGGCTTCCAACACAATCGGGGCTCGTTTGTTTCTGTCGTCATTTTGTGAGGCGGGAGCTGCAGCAGATGCGGTGCTGCTCTTGCGCGACGGTGTCGGTGAGACACTTTTACGGCTCGGCGACTTTCGTGCTAACGGACTGCCAGCTCGCAGCTTCTTCTCGTCGACTCCTGGCGGTGGAAGTCCATCGGTTTTTCGTATTGAAGAAACTGAATATTTATGGATTTATGTGGTGAATTTATGCCGAGCTCAATCTATTCCCCTACCTTGATCGACCTCCATTTTCTCGACTCTACTCGATCTTCGCGATTCTGACTGCGAGACGTCTTCGTTCACTGGCGTCGATGTTCTCGATCGCAGTTTTTTGCTCGGCGAACCTTCGCGCGCCTTCAATGTTCGTTTCGGCGTCTCTTCGCGTTGCTGCTTCTTTTTGGGAGATGCCGGTCGGCTGCCTGGTCCGCGGGACGACGGACGAGGCGACGCCGTTGATCGTTTCCGTTCGGGCTTCTCGGCTGGGTCAGGCTCTTCGAAATTGAGCGCCAGGTTCGCATTCGTTTCGCCCTGATCGTTTCGAATATTGCAACGGTATTGGCCAGCATCGGACGAGGATGGTCCCTAGAAATAGAATAATAAAATATATCACTTTTTTTCGCTCGAATTACTCGAATTTCCAGCTGACATAAGAATGTCTGATCTCCTAAATCGCTAAAAATTGCGTGATAAAGACCGCCCATTGTGAGAGGAACTCCATCTTTCATCCATCTGAAAACGAAACCTCAATCAATTGTCTCAAAGAGCAATTCTCACATTGCAACTGGAGTTGTGGCACTTTTGACTTTGCACTCCATTACGATTAGAGCTCCGCCGTCTTTGGGAATGATTCGCGGTTTTCCAACAAACGTCGGCCCGCGAGCTTTTCCTTCATCTCCGCCAGCTCCCGCGAAATTCAAATTGATGTTCGCATTTGATTCGCCGAGCTGATTCTTGGCGGTGCATTTGTAAGCTCCCCCGTCGCCGGCATTCGGTTCTTTGATCACCAAAGTCGCTTTGTAGAGATTGCCGCCCAATGGTGTGAGGGTCTGAACGACTCGCGCGCTCGGAGCCAGCAGATTGCCGAATGCTGCCAGGCGATTGTCGGTTCGGGTTCCGCCTCGAGATGGCATTCCATCAACAGATCACCCTATAATGATTATCCAATTCAATACATCAAATGTATATTATATATATATATTATGTGGGTCATCGTTTCAATTGATTACTATCATTATTTTTTCGTCGTCGTCGTCTTCCTCCTACATCCACCCGGGGGATTGAGATGTTTTTATTTATTACAACAACAACCACCGCGTTCCAAAGGGTTTCAAAAACCTCTCTCTTCTCTCATCGTCCGGGGGGGCTCCACATGTGTTTGCGTGACTTATCACCTTTCGTTGAAGCCGAAAAAAATAGCAGGCGGATGCTGCGGTTTAATGACGTTCTGGGCAATTTGCAAAATTTTCCGTCAATAATTCAGATTTGATGTTTGAGTAGAGGTTCGAGAGGTTACACACATTGTTTCGAAAGAGTTCTCAAACAAAAACGATGAATCACCTATTATTAATGCTCAAAGCAAAAGCATGGCATATCGAGTTTATTGAAGTTACTTTAACTTCGTTTTTCAATTCTCGAACATCGAATTTGTTTTAAAATTCCTATTGCTTTATTCTGCTAATCAAAAAAAGTAAACAAAAAGTAAAAAAAAATAAAATTGACTTTTTAGACCAGCGAATTTTCGAATCCAAAATGGGGGACTTTGAAAAAAATCAAATATTTTTTTCATTTCGAACAATTGCAATTCAAAAAGCTATTTATATAAATTTCCAGTATCATTAATCCTCATCGATTCAATCTAATCTGCTCTGTTGCGAATCGTGTCGAAATTTACACTTTCGGTATACTATAATCACGCATTCTTCTAGGAATTCTTTCATTTTCAAATTTCCATTATACGGATCAAATAATTTTTTCTGATCTACCAATACAAAATTGCAATCTGCGAAATCCCCCGAAAGAGATGTTTTGGGCGGCAGGCCAGGCCAGCTTGTGTTTCGCCGAGGGCACTACAACGAAGATGAAGACGAAGGAGCTCAAGCTTCTCCTTCTTCATCATCATCTTCTTCTTCTTTTTCATATTTTTTTGTTGCTAGAGCTCCCGGGAGCACACTCACACACACACATACACACGCATACGTATCTTTCGTCGGCAATGCCAATCTTCAGCTTCTCGCCCCCACAAAATACACTGCTGTATGAGCTGCTAGTGACAAGCCGGACGAGAAGCTCGAGATGAGCAAGAACGAGCACGAGAATGAGCATTTTTGCGAGGGGACAAGGCGGTTTCGCACGAAATAAAAAATAAAATCGAGTGGACAATTTCAAAATAGATGTATTTGTTTCGTGAAATTTTGAAAGTCTTGAAATAGAAGTTTTGAAATAATCGCAAATATCAAATTTCAAACCAACCTACTTTACTTTCTCTTTTCTCGTTCACAAATCACTCGAATTCTCATGGAAATTTTCAAAAAATGCCATTAATATTAGCCTATTTTGGAAATTTCACGTTTTAGACTTTAAAATGACTCGACAATTCATCAGTATGTTTTTTTTCTTTTCACGAAACTCGAACTAACCGTTGGCGTCTGCTGAATCGAGGGTTTTTGGGTGAAGCGCGGCGCGCCAACCATTGCGATTAAAGGCGCGCGCCTCCTTTAAACGATTGTCGTAATAATAAAATAATCAGTGATGTCTATCGGACGCTCTCCAGCAATAATCTTGCTTCGTTTGGTAGAAGAGAGTCCGACGTTCTCCTCTATTCAGCAGTCCTCTGCAAAATTCGAATCAAAATTGCAAAAGTGCAAAAGTGAGATTAAAAATGAAGAAGAAGAAGAAGAAGAAGAAGAAGCAGAAGGCGAAAAAACACACACGACACTCAAGAATCTTGGTGTGGAATGTAATGGACCGCGCGTGGCACATCTGTCAAATGTCGGCCGTAAATCAGTTTGGCAGCATCCGAACGGGTCACTTTTTGTTCCAATTCGTCGAAATTCGCCAATTATTATTAAAAATCAATTGGAAACAAATTTCTCGAACACATCAAGATATATTGAGTGGCAAGGGAAGCAAGAGAAGTTTATTGAAATATTAAAGTGGAAAAAGTGAAAGATGGGTTTCTTCTTGAGAATGTTACAACAAAAGACACTGAAACACTAAAAAACTTTCGAAAGCAAACAGAACAATCGTGTTGTACTCAGAAAAAAAACAGTTCGAAAACCATCGCTCCTCTTCATTCAAATCCAAAATTGCTTACTGTTTTCAATTGTAGCAAATTTCATGATTAACCTTCATGATTATGATCGCGATTCATTGATAATATTCAAAAGTACTATTTTTGGTCTAGATGGTACCAAAAAAAATGTACAATCCCTAATATTCTCTTCGGTTTAGAGATATTCTTTCTACCCGAAATGGCGGCCTTTGGTTGAAAAAAAAGTAAAAAAATAATAACGAACGAAAGATAAACAAAATAAGTGCAAAAAGGCGGCTCTTCGACAGTCTCGCCGACTCGCGAATCTCAGTAATCCATCGGCCCAAAACACAAATAAGCAATTCATGTGGAATATTGGAAGAGATAGCGATGGACCGCGTCGATGTGTGGAGGCGGCAGACAGCGAGAGGGATACCCGCGGGATGAAGCCGCCGGACGGCCCGATATGCTGCCATTGTGCAATCGCGGCATACACATACACTCTCACTCACACAGTCCCAAGAGCTGCTCCGGCTCTCTCTCTCTCTCTCTCTCTCTCGGGCTCGATATGATCTATCGTAGTCGAGGGTTTGGAGTGGGCGGCGCCTCATGTTGTGAACGGCGCCAGGCGCCAACGTGATTGCGGTGGAGACGCCGGCAGCGATGAAGAAGAGGAGGTGGTGGAGGAGGTTGCGGAGCTGCAGCACCTGCGGTGTCCACGCTAACCGATGATGGCGGCCGTTTGTCGACAGAAATGGACAAAAATGTTACATTTTTCGGACCATTGAAAATTTTGGTCGCGATAATTCAAACCACCGATATAAACAGTTGAATCTCAATCCAAAACAGAACGAGATCAGTTTTTCAGTGAGTTTGCTTAGCCGGTTATCCGTAGTTCCGTTGCCGAATAACTCTCAAATAGAAATTTGAAATACCGCTTCGAAATAATGCGGTTGACCACAATTATACAAGACGCTCGTTTTTTGTTATTGTAATGTTTATAGTGCTGTAGCGCATTTTCTGGGCATTTTTTTTCTACATAAATTTTTAGGCTTTTTGTTTGAACTAAAATTGAAAAACAAAAATATCACATGGCCAAGTATCTTTAAATAATATCGAAGAAAAAATGCGTGAAGAAATCGAAACCGCCTATCCGATTACTTTGCATCTTATGTGTTTGTTCTCTCTTCCATCACTTCTTCCCAGCTAACGCGCCACAAATCAGGCATCGGTGGTTCAGTGGTAGAATGCTCGCCTGCCACGCGGGCGGCCCGGGTTCGATTCCCGGTCGATGCAACTTTTTCTTTAATTTTTTATCCTCATATTTTTTCATTACTAATATTATTATATCATGACACTCAACAATTTGTGTGAAAACAATAAATAATCTATCTACAATTAATGTCGTCGTCGTCGAGGCATTCTCAAATAGCGTCTGACATCATTGAACGGATCCGATTTCGATGAAGGATTTTTCTTGGCGATTTCGCGCGAGTTTGGCGGAATTCTAAAGTGCATCATGAAATGGGAAATGATATGTGAGAAACGCACTTTGTCGAGACTCCGCCTTCTTCGCGTAGAAGTGAAAGCTGCAGTTTCGCCGTGTTATACTCGACCTGCTCGTGATTCAAACCGTCGAGCTTCAATTCAATTATGTTATAAAACTTCTCAATTCACATTTCAATATCGAACCTTGTGCTCGATGGCTCCCGCAAAATAAGAAGCTCGAGTTCCACAAGCGAAGTAACCGACAATCATGTCAGCGGTTGAAGCGATATTATGGATTTTGTACGATGCTTCGTATTTCTTATGGCCATTGATGTTCTTCAAAAAGTTTGAATTGCAAGTGAGGCCCGTGTTCAGATTGCATATGCCGAAGAATGGAAGTATACACAAATGAGACCCTTGATTTGCACCGGCGACCGAAATAAATGTGTGGATGCGATCAGTGATTCGAGCTCCGATATTTGTCGATGGTCTATCGACACACGGACCGCCGAGAATCGCTTTTCGCGCAATCGGAGATCCCATTGAATAGGCGATGATGTCGACTTGAGGAGCCCCCGTGTACTGGATGACAGTTTCAATAAATTTTCGAATCTGAATTGTTCGTTTTGTTGACAATTCTGAATTTGAATGAGCATTTACATGTTGCACATAATTGCATGACATTTTCACGTCGAAATCGATCTGTCTGAGACCTTTTCCCCAAGTGGTTGCGAAAATTCGATTTTTCGGGAAACCATTTCCTACAAAATCGGCTCGTATTTTCCAGAAATTTCCAGCTTCATTGTTCAATCCGTGCACCAAAATAACTGGCCGCACACTGAAATAGTGTCATTTGGCTTTATCAATCAAAATGAGAACGTACTCTCCCGAATACGGACCACCTCCAAAACTGCCAGTTCGCAGTTCGTTTCGCAGGATTTCTGAATGAACATAATCAATGTTGAATCTAAAATAGATCCATAATAAGATACCTTTCACCTCGTTTGGTTTCAAATGCTTCTCCATCCATTTGATGAAATGCCAATCGGTGTCATGTCCGGCGCTCGCCAAAATCGGAAACACGAAAAGTAGAAGAAGCGAATTCATGCCAATTGTGGAATTCTGCCAAAGATATCTTGCTTATATACCAGACACGGTTTCAAATCTCTCAGGGTTTGACAATTAAAATTTATGAGGCTTCTCCCCTAAGATCAAAATGGGCGGCACCAGGTGTTGCGCAAGATTATCTCCAATTCGTGCGTGAATGATAGCGATGGGATATGTGACATCTGAAATGAGATGTCCTACCGTATCCTTCTCGACATTTTTCATTTTTATTAAGTAAAACCAATTTCTAAAAAAAAATAGGATTGTGATAAATGGATAATTAATCTCGAAAGGATGTAAAAGATGATGAAGCATTCGGTGACGACTTCTCGAATTACTATAATGTCCATATACGGAATGATTGGGCTATTACTGGGTATAAATTAAGAATTTCACTTCCACAAATTCCAAAATTGTGCGTATACTTTGTGGTCCGTAGCCATTCTCGGACATCATGCGACAGATCGAGTTCAACATCAGAATATGAATGGATATATGTGCCCAGATGATGCCCATGAAGTTTTCGTGTCGATCAGTGCTATGACCAAGCTTCTACCAGATAACTTTGGTGGTTTCTCCAAAATTGCCTTTCTAAAACGAACAAATTTCACAGGATTTAAACTTCTGATATTGTAAAATTATGCTAATTATAAAAACTGCCGAAAAAATGAATTGCGCGTGCTGCTAACTTATTGACGGCTTCATTGGTCCGTTAAATCAGAAAAAACTCTTTGCATGTTGAATTTTGTTTGATTCGAGACCAATTCAAGCAATAAATGAAAGTCGTACACCCACGACAATATTTCAACAACAAAATGAATTGGAAGTTCGATCCGATGAATTTCCAATCGGATCCGATAGATCCAAAACTAAGAAGGTACGGTGTTTCTACCTTCTGATCCTTGGAATGGTCGTTTCGATTTTTGATCTTAATTTCGCGACATTTTGTGCTATCAGACAATGAAAAAAAGGAATAAAACTGGAGACTCATCAACTTAAATCAATATCGAAATCAACGACCATTCCGTGTGTTTCTAAAAAAAATTATTAATGTCAGGTTTTCATTTTTTTTAATTTCGGAAAAATGTATTAAATGTGTGCTGAATTGAAAACTTCGATATTCTTTTCCATTAAGTGAATCCAATAGTAGTTAGACTAGCAAGTTCACATCATATTTCATTTGTGTTCGAGATTATCTCATTCCGAAAATGATTTGTCACGAAAGTTTAATGGAGTTTAAATCGAAACGGATTCACTTGAGAACATATGACGAGAATTATTACTTAATTATTTCTTTTTTTGAAATATATCCGTATCACAACTTACAATTATTTTGGGGATTATCTTTATAGAGCGATTTGGGGATGGATGTGTCGAGAGAACCGCATCCAATCGCACACTCAGCACTACCGTTTTTCTTTATTTTTTCTCTCTTCCCAACGAAATCGCTTTATTATAGATTGATTCCTTTAAATTTTATCAACTTCGAAATTTAGTTGTTAGATTAATTCGAAAATTTTCATTCTCTCAAATGAGATCATCGACATGAATGCGAATATTGCTAAACCGAAGGGACACGAGCGGGTGCGTCGCGCACCGATGCGCTTCATAAACTTCAGTGCAAATCTTGTGATTTTTATGTTGAGATCTACACACAATATGCGTTTTCTACGAAAAAAATTACGCCATTAATTGTCCCATTTTCGTTGGTTAGATTCATTCTATCGTTTGATTTTAATACCCGAATTCGTACGTTCGAACACGAAAGAAGAAGATTTCAAAGATCAAGTCTCGTGGAAAAAAAAACTCCGTGGACAAACACGTATTTGATATTCAAAAACCGTTGTGCTTTAAATCGTTTACACTTTCGGCATAAACTAATTCTCTTTGAGTGTTGACATTAAGATCAATCATTTCCGCAAAACCTTTGACAGTATCAAGTTCATATCATGACCAAAAAACGTGTCTTCGAAATCATTTGTTTGTGTTTTGATCAAATTGTGTGTTGGCCGAAAAAGGGAATGTAGCCGATGAAATTATTCGGCGTATGGTCGGCGGAAAACGACTGAACGATATTTTAAAAAAAGTTGGCTGCGTGCCAACGATCTCGAGGCGAAGAGAGAAACCCAGAATACACAGGAATTCGGAGGAGTATGCGCGGAATTGCCAATTTCATAGATCTACACTGATTTCGCGAAATTGAATTTCCCGCCACCGGTCAGCCATTTGACGCGCAGACAATAGACTAAAATATGTCAAAATCAACGGCGCTTATCAATTGAGCATAAATATTAAATTGTCAAATTCAATAGAGTGGAATTCGTGCACCGTACTACGGAGAACCTGAGAATCAAACTCACATTTATTCTACGCAGGGTACTCGCATTTTTGTGAGTTCAATGAAAATAAGTAGAGGCCAAAAACCTGAATCGGAATTGTGAAATGGGTATATTTTTAATTAAATTGTTTTTTTTTTTTCGTAACAGTTCGCATTTGCTTTGAGCGATTTAATTCTCATTTTTCAATAAAAACTGCTTTAGGCCCATTTGTGGTGGTTCAAATTAAGATTTCATTTTTGGCAAAATTGTGCGAGATGGTTAGATGTTGACTTCAAAACCGTCGTTTGACGAAGTAAATCTCACTGCCATCCGTAATTGTCATAAGAAATATTGGTTCAGCTTCTAATCATAATCAGTGTCTATAAATCGTTTTGAAAGAGCAGCCCACTAAATACAATAGCGAAGTAGATGCTCCCGGGGAGCAACGAAATAGCGAATAACAACTAGGGGACAACGTGCTCTTGAGGTTCATCTGCTCAGGAAGGTCAATGTCTCTTGGGGTTCAACAGATTTATTCTAAAGGCGATCAACAGAAATGCTTAATTTGTTAAATTTTTGGTACGACTGAAAATTTTGTGAGAAGTGGCTCCTACGCGTTGTTGCTCTGAGTCAATTAGAATGTTTAATTAATATCAATTTGAGACACCGTTTTCATCTTAGTCTATGTATGTATTATGTTGAATATTCGCATTCAGAATACGATAAAAATTATATTGAAGAATTTAAGCATTTCTGTTGAGCCCTAAAAGACTTTTTGAGTGTTCCCTTTAAGACATACTTTTGGTTGACCCCTAAGAGAACCCCAAGAACACGTTGCCCCCTAGTTGCACCCAATTTCGTTTTTTACTTTCAATTCCACGACATGATAACGACAACAATATTTTTGATCAGTCCCAAACCTTCTCAAACAGAACAACTTTAGGTAATAAATTATCTTTTAATAAAAATCTAATCGAATATTTTTCAACAGTTTTATTCATATTTGTATAGTTTTTTTCTAATTTTGGACGGATTACATTTTTTTCGATTTTTCACTTTTTTCCATCTAAAAACTTAAAAATCCCGTAATGTTTTTCTTATGTGGAAACCAAAATAAAAACTCTGACTTTCTGTGCTTCAATTTGTTACTGACTATGTGAAGAGAAAGTTGAAATCTTGAAGCGATTCCCAACAATTCAAGTGGAAATGTTGAAAGTATCTCGCCAAACATAATGGAATTCTATAAGGTGTTTGCGGACTTTTATGGTTTCAACGAATAAATTTAATGTTTCGTTTCGAATCGAATACGGCAAATTTCGTCTTGTAAGAAATTCGAAATTTGTCGTATCCGATTGCTCTTTGGAATTCGGTTCGAATGCGCTCGTATTCGTTGTGAAAATTGTCGTATTCGATTGTATTAGGCCTAGAAATTAATTTCCGCGTTTTTTTCTTGTTGATATTTTGCCAAAATGAAATTATTTTTATATAACCAATTTTATGTTATAATTTTCTCTATATTAAGCTTTCTACTTATATATGTATAACATTCTTCACGTACTTTATAAAAAATCATTAATTTGGGTTCAGAATATGTCCACCTTTGAGCCAGAAAAACGTCATTTGCGGGAAGTTCGTCTTTTCCTCGTCGAACTCAAGAAGAAAGCCACTGACACGCAGCAAATGCTTGCCCAAGCTTACGGCGAGGCTGCAACATCCATAAGAACTTGCCAAGAATGGTTTCAGCGTTTCAAATCGGGAGATTTTGACGTCAACGACAAGGACCGATCAGGACAGCCAAAAATTTGAAGACGAAGAAATTCAGACTTTGTTGGATGAAGATTCGGCACAAACACAGGAGCAACTCGCGGCATCTCTCGGCGTCACGCAAAAAGCAATTTCTCATCGATTGAAAGCAATGGGGAAGATTCGAAAGGAGGGAAAATGGATGCTGGACAGATTTCGAAGAAAGTCTTTTTTGCACTACGAGTGTACTACGACAATCAGAAGCGAAGAAAATCGTGGGTTAGTCCCGGTGAACCAACAACTTCGACCGCAAAACAAAACATCCACGGGAAGAAGGTCTTACTGTGCATACGGTGGGACCAACAAGGAATGCTGTACTCTGAATTGCTCCAACCTGGCGAAACAATCACTGCAAATCGCTATCAACATCAACTAGTGCCGTTGCGGCATGAAATCGCAGTAAAAAGACCAGAATGGGCGGGTTGACACGAAAAGGTCATATTGCTTCATGACAACGCAAGGCCACATGTTGTTCAAGCGGTGAAGGATACGCTGAAACAGTTCAAATGGAAAGTCTTACCGCACCCGCTGTACTCTCCGGACATTGCCCCGTCGGATTATCATCTTTTCCGGACAATGGCTCATGGTCTGGCGGAGCAGCGCTTTCGAGATCATCAAGACGTCAAAAAAATGACTAGATGGATGGACTGCGGCAAAATCAGAAAATATCTATTATGATGGAATAAATAAGTTGCCAAAACTCTGGGAAAATGTTGTTATTAATGACGGAAATTATTTTGAATAAAAGTTTTGTTTAAGTTTGCCAGTTTTTTATAGTTTAATATGCGAAAAAAAGCGGAAATTAATTTCTAGACCTAATAAAACGAAGAATTGCGAAGAAACAATCGAATACCATCAAATTTAAAGCAATTTTCAAAACGAATATGGTGCCGAATTTTGTCATATCGGATTCGGAACGAATAATCGATAATCGATAGGTTTCCTCCAAAAAAAAAACAATAATTTAAGAAATTATTTGTAAAATTGAAGGTTCTTATAAAGGATTTTTAATGTATTTTTTAGCCCCGATGTCAAATTTGAAAACAAAATTAAAATATTTTCACAATTGACAAAGTTAAGCCCAAAAACATGGGTGGCTTTATAAATGTGAAACGCACTGTAATACCATTGAAAAAACAATCACTTTGAATAATTGTGGTCTATCGAACTTTTACGAAGCGGTAATTCAAATTTCGATTTAAACAGAGGGAATTCGGGTGTGCCCGCCGCAACCCCGGAGTGTTTTTTTTAATTCTCAATTAGCTGACGTTATCTCAGCATCGAGTTTCACCTACATTCAGAGCTCAAATTGATTCGTCCGTTAGAATCTGATATATGTATTTCTGAGCACATCATGGCATACACTCATTAGCCCATATTGTGTAGAGACCCAGACAAGGTCCAGATGAAGAAGAGCATTTTGAAAAATTGTGGGCAATCGAATTTTTTCGAAGCGCCAAAAGTTGAATTGAAAAAATCTGGGGCAATTTGGGTACCGTACTACGGATAACCTGCGAATCAAACTCGCCGTAAACATTCGCTCAGTGCCCGCTTTTTTGTGAATATGTATAGTATATCGAAACGATACTTGTCGAGACCATCAGTTTGCATCCTTTAAATCTCCATAAGCCTATATGAAAACTTTTCGCGGTTTCTACATATTATTTATCCTTTATTCTCAAAATATAACGTTGTTCTAGCCCACGCAAAGTGATAATCTCGAACATGAACATGTCGTAAACATGATTCATAACCAAATAAACGATGAGAAAAGGAAATATTATAAAAAAGTGGAAAGTTTTGCAAAAAATGTTCTAAAATGAAAATTCTTGATTTTCTAGTTCGCATTATTCTCCATATTTTGAGTCTTTTGTCAGGATTAAACGATAAGCCTGAATTGACAAGTATCGATATAAAATAGATTCAGATTATGGAGAAATTCTATTTAGACACGACATCTTCACCTACTACAGATATTCCTCGGGGAGAAGAGGTTTTCAACTTCACACAACCACAGGAGGATAATTACACAAGCACAACTCCTCCACCCGGAACATGTATAGTATTCACGACAGTACAACCCGAAGACTTTAATTCAACTTCGGAGGAATTCAATATAACGACAGGTGAATTCAACACGGCGTTGGAGTACAACACAACTGTGGAACTGATATCAAGCACGGAGAAATTAACGACGGTGGAGGAAACGACAACAACTTCTGAAGAGACAACGACAGAATCTACAACGAAATCAACAACAACCGAAATGTTAACAAGTGAGTAAATAGAAAAAAATGAGCATTACGGCTATTCATTTTTTGAGCTATTTAATATTGCGAAGCTTTTAGCAGCGATCGACGAGACCACAACTAGAAGGAAAGCAAGCGGTGGAAATCCGGTAAAAGAAGCACCAAAACGAATGACACACGAAGAATATTTAATATTTTGCGCGGAAAATCCGACGGAATGTGCACTTGGTGAGGATCACAATCACCAATACCCAGATTTGTCCAACAGAATTCGAGCACGAAGAAGTGCTGTAAGCCGTGGTCCGCAAATACCAATTAGTAAGAGACTGGTCAGAACACGCAATTAAGCACAGAATGCATGAAATCGGTCTTATCTATAAATCAGTTACATTAATTGAAATTCGTTCGAATCGCATTGAACCTTCGACATAATTAACATGCGTCACACAATCTTTTTTTATTAAATTGGAATGGAATAGATAGAGCTAAATGACATTCTTTCAAAAATCGTAACAATATAAACGAGGAAATAATATAAAATTGACTAAGCAAAAAGGCGACATAATAGTTTGGTAAGTTTCTTGAGAAATTAGTTCGAAATTAGTTTTGCCTAGTTTATCGCGTTAATATTGTGATGGAACGACATCTCTTATGATGAGCGATGTTCGAATATTGGCACGATTGTTCTTTCATCACAATTGAGTCAATTGAGACAAACTTTAAAAGAAACATATGATACATGTTAGCGGACGTCGAATCTTGAGGTAAAGAAGGAAACAGTGAAATGTGAAAGGTTATTAGGTAAATTTTGAAAACTGATTAAGCAAAACAGCGAAGCAACTGGCTATTGGCGGGATTTTTTTATTAGTGTCTTCCAGAAAGAAAGTTCCTCGCGGAGAATTGGAGAATTTTTTGCCTTAAGTAAATTTTGCAGTTGAACATAATTAAGCATCGAATACCAAGTTCATCCAATGTTTGTTTGATTGGAAATGGCTGACAACGTCACCAAGTCCTTCTAAATCTTCGGAACAATGCTCGCAATAGTTCTGAAAAAAAAAAGATTCAAAAAGCTGATTAAAAATCAAACCAAAAGTCCAATGGGTGGGTCGGTGTTTTCAGCAAAAATTGAATGCCAGTTGGCACGATAGGACATTCTGCGCAAATCCATGGTCGCCGATGAAGCCTCCATTTCTGAAGAAGAAAAAAACAGTCGTATTGGCAGAATAGAAAACGAAATCGGTCGCAGATGTTCTTGGGTAATAATCTTTTGAATTTACTATCTTATTTCATATTTTAAAAGTAGTTCTTAATCATTTTGATGTATCCGCGCATTCTCATTAAAAAAAAAAACACAACCCAAATACGTTGAAAATCATGCGTCATTTTACATTGGCTGAACAACGAACCGTTAAGGAGAAGTTCTTGAGGAATATTATCACGGTTATGGTTTCGGAACAAAGCAAATGAGCACTTAATGCTGTAAAAAATTAATTTCTTCGATATTATTCTATACAATTTACTCCAAAATGGTCATGAACTGCCGAACTCCATTTTTAGTGATACAAACCTAAAATAAATTTATGTTAAACAAAAAAAGATTATTACCGAATTTAAATGATCGTTCCCTAAGATGTGACGAACAACTTCTAACTCAGTACTGAGCTTTGTGTGGCATAGTTCACAGAATGTCTAAATTTTTGCTTCAAGCTGATATTATATAAAAATAAAACCAAGCACGGTCTGTCAAAGAGAATGTTGCATTTCTCGCGGACTTTGTCTCTCAAAAACTTTATCACCCGTTCTTTTCCTTCACCGACATAGCGCCATTCGCTTGCATATTTTCCGCAAAGTGGGAATCCCATTGTTTGAAGAGATTGTGCTGAAATTGTTTCAAATATAAAGCTCATCTTCCATTATGGCGCTATGCAGATTTGGCAGGGAAAACTCTAAATACTTTAAAAACCAGTTTTTGTGCCATCTGCATATAGCTTTAGGAGTTTTCAATAGTTTGCACCGTATTTCTTACAAAATCTGCATAAAACGGGTTTAAAAGTAATGATACTATGCAGATAATATTCAAAAACCGGTTTAAAAACTATTTTAAAAACGCCAAAACTCGTTTCTTTTTTCTGCTTTGAACCATAAAGTTAGCTGGGGATTCATTAATTTTTGAAATTAAAAAACAAACTAATTTCATTAGATTTCTCAAAAACCCCATCCTTCGAACACAAATTATTGCAAAATGAGATCCAGTATTCGGCCTCGCTTCGATCAATGCCGTACTCGATAACCTACAAAAAATAAAGTAGAATATACTCAATTAGTTGAAATTTTTACGCATTTGATGTGTTTTTCGGATTTTAGATGATCCCATACTGAGTTCATATAAGTCACATGTATGCTCTCTTCGCAATAATCGCATCTCTTAATAAATTTAAAAAATTAAATTAAATAACTTTTGAAGCTACCAATGTTTGGACGGGACCAATAGGACTTTCGCGGTATTTACGTGGAACTTCGTCGAAAACATTTATTACTTGACGCAAAAGAAGCATCGTTTCGATTTCTGCATATATCGATTAATACAAAAATAAAATAATATTTACACCGACAAATTACCTTCTGCGGTCATTGCATCGTCATATCCATTCAACGGTCGTGTCATCATCGGATATTTATTTTTAAGACGAATTCCATTTTTGAGGCTTGCAATTGCGGTACTTGTATCAACTTCGTCGAATAGAAAGCGGCCGGAAGCATATTCATTTTTGAAATTCAACGAAATCGGTGCACTTCTGCGATTCTCTTCAATTTTCTCCATGTCGTAAATCATCTTCTGTGCAACATTGTAGTCTATAGCAGAAAACGAACCACCACATTTCAATGCCTCAAATCTTATAATTGTCTGAGAAATCAAATCAACTCAATAAACCATTAGAGTGTGTTGATCGGAAAGCATGTGAAGGAACATTGCGAACTGATCTTCTGGTCGCACATTGCATATTTTGCAGGGGCGAGTCTGAAATCACAAAATAATAAGAGACAAATGTTTCAGTCTATAATTAAATCAATGAAAACAAACTTTAATATTCAGGTGCTCAAAATACGAGTTCACTGTGCGTGGCGACAACTTTTCCAAATGAAGAATTAAATCTTTTGTAATTTTTTGACAGTGATTATCCATTAAAAGAGGAAACATCGGCTTCCAAGCTTCCGAAAATGGAACGAAGAAGTCTGGATAGCGTCTTTTGGAATTGATTAGTGGTTGTCTTTCGACAAAATTGCTAATCATTTGGTTAAAATTTTCCAACGGCTTCACTTCGCACGTGATCATGCTGTGCTCATTATCAGAAATTGTAGTATCGTTAAAAAACATTGAGGTGTTCGTAACCCTGCAATTAACAACAATATTCACTATCCATTATGAATCAAATAGCAACCTTGTTTCGTTATTCATGTTAATAGTAACATCTAGATTGGTTAAATTAAATTTTGTTGCATCGTTATCATCTGAAAAAAACGAGCATTATGTAATATTGTATTTATTTTTATATTACCAAATGAAACTGGTTTCATATTGCAATCATAAATTCGGCATTTCGGCAAGAAATTTTTCATTTTCAGCATTGTCTCGAAGTCATAAGGGCCACTGAAATTTAGAACTACAATTTTTGGTAAGAAAACAAAAAATTACCAGATCATATTCTTTTCATCTCTGCAATAAAACACATTCATTTTTAATTAGTATTTGAAAGAGAAAACAAAAGAAACTCGGAATAAAATATCTGCCACTGACATCAATATTGGCGGGAAATAACTGTTTATCATTCATTTTGAAGATCAAAATCACTAACAAAAATTGAATGATCTAATCTTTCACGACTAGCAAGAACTGTATAAGTATTCGACCTGTATCTTGTATGCCTTATTGTTATCGAAATAAATATATTCATCTGGAAGCACTTAAATTTTAAAAAAATTATTTAAAAGAAACTAATACATATGAAATTTGAATGAATTAAAACATTTGAACAAAGGCGCGCGCGACTCGCTGATACGGCCTAGAAAACATTTCATCAAAAATTAGGTTCAGTCACGGCCACACTTGATGGTTTAGCGAATGCGTATATATTGTGAGTGTTTACGAACTAAATGAAATTTAAAAGCCGGAATATCAAAAGAAAAATCACAACTTTGTGGAAATAAAAGAAAAGGAACTTTCAAAGTCCAATCGCCAAACCATATTCCTACTCCTCTAAATCAAAACCGACTGAGCTGAAACTTCGCAGAACAGTTCAAAAAAATATCTAAACAAAGAAAATTGAAAGACGCCTTAGTAATGCGCATCAGAGGTTTAAAGCTGTGTCCAGCTAATTTGAAAGAGGGGTTCTCGATAAATATTCACTCGATTTATCATTTCATCGGGTCATTTTTATTCGCAGGAAAAACACCATAATTAATGATGGAAAATCTCGTAAGTTTTGTTTAATCGTTTAGTTTAATCTTTTGAGATGTGGTCAATTTCTTATTTCTACAATAATAAATATACTTTCAAAGCAATTAAATTGTTCAGACCACCGTATACCTAATAAATAATAAATCGACGAATTTTCCACACCGCTACTCCTGCAATAATTGTCGGCTCCGAATCCCGCAATTGGCTGCAATCAACCTGCGAATGCTCTTTTCCCTCTTCAGACTACGGTAGCGACCGACCAGCCGGCGCAAATCTATCAAGTTGATGATGTTAAACGTCGGCGGCCCGGTCAGTTGTTCCTCCAGCTACACCAATGTTATCTTTTCGATTTCACATTTGCTTAACATAATTTGCTCGCGCCGTGTCATACATTACAACCCACTCGAATCGGTGTCTTTTCAACAAATAATCTGTGTTATTGTTGTCTCAGATTTCACTTTTTAAACTACGCCGGAAGTCGCTTATCAATATATCTTACGGTAGCTATTCTTTCGAGTTACAGTAGCCCAACTAATTGTTGGTTTTATAAAGATAATTTTGAAAACATGTAAGTAGAAAAAATGTTTTTATTTTGAACATTCATTTCCATTACTTCAGAGCTTTATTAAATTTTTGAGCGCGATGAGTGCATAAATAAATGTTTCATAATTTATGTGCATAAAAACACATAATAATTACCTTGAGAATCCAGCACGTGATGCAATCTCCGCCTATTATCACATTCGATGCGCTAATCTACGCAAAGCGGTACAGTAGCAAAAAAACATAGACATGCATAACATGCATACCTAATAAATGGCATATATGTACATAGTGAGCCTTATCTGACCTTGCCATCATAATCATGTCGTGCCGCCATTGTTCGCCATTGTCCGCCATCCATATTTATTTATTTTTTGTTTCGGAGACACTCATTTCGGCGGCGGCGACGACGACGACAGCGGCTGTCGCGTAATTACCGCAACATACCAATTTAGTTCATGTGTTTTTTTTCGTATTCATTTCCGAACATATCGAACTTACTGGCACTATTTTTGAGAATATCATAAACCGCACAGCTGCGAGAATACACAGTTTACGGGATTGGTCATATTTCGAAACGGTCCATTAAATGATGCGCAGGTGGGCGAAGCTTCTCGCCACCACCCACCCTTCTTTGTGGTGTTTTGTTGTGATCCCATTACTCAACAGCTGTCGAATGTTGAAACCGACCGTATTGGGAATGTATTCCGCTATACTATTCCTCAAAAGAGTTGTTTTGTTTTCTGTCATTTCTCATTCTTCTCAGAGTTACCTAGTTTTTGTTTTCCCCATTTTTGAATATCCTGAACAACGTTTTTTTAGGATGTGGGTCATTCTAGATCATCAAGCAGAATTTTCTTTTTAATTAGTTTAGAGAGATGGTCTCAGTTGGAAATATTCAAAAATGAGCTCAAATTGTGTTCTAATAAAAATATCAAATCAAAATATTGATTTTTCAATTTAAGTCGAATTCGACATATTCTTCTATACTATACCCCAGCACTTGAAATCAGTTTGGAATTTCACATCAAAGTCCGTCAACCTCCGAAGCCGCCAATTTCCAGTCGGACGAGGACAGGCAATTTTCCACGTGTCACCTAAAAACTGACAGATTTGTCGATGTGTCGCATATTCGTCGAATCACCCGGGTGATGGCGTTCCAATTGCTTTTTCATCGTTCTCGTCGGCTTTTCATGCGGTTGAGTAATTATGAACAAAAAACTCCGTTTTAATACTCAAAAATTTTGAAAATTTTGTGAAATCTTTAAAAAAAACTGTGATTGATTAACATAACAATTTAACCGAATATTTCTTCTCCATTTCGTCAAAAATGAAGCGAATTCCATTTTTGACCTAAATTTGTTTCGCCTGAAATACGATAATCATCGAATACGCCTGAACGCATTCATTTTGAAGAATTCCCATATTTGTATTCTATATTTTAAATATTTCCCCATAGGACCATTGTTTGTCAAAATTTGCTTTTTCGAACACAATTTGTCCCCAAAGTGTCACAAATCTGCGCGTAAAAATTTGACATTTTTTGCATTCTCACGAGACGTCGCTTATTTCGAATATTCAGAATATCGATAACTTCAAACATGGGGAGGTGCTCCTCCTCAACGATTCTTTGGATCGCCCTGCTCATCGGAGCTTCATTCTCAACTAAAGTCGATGTCGATCTTATCAATGAGACAATTCGCAACCTCATGCATTTCAAGTCGATCGGTCCCAGTAAGTTCGGACAAAAACGAATTGAAGACATTCGTCGAATTCTCCAGATGACACTTTCTCCTTCCACCGCCCGTCTCAATACCTTTCGAACCATATGAAGAAATTGTACGACGTGATTGTTGATGAAGACGGAATTGATGACGGAAACTTGGTTCGAGCAATCGAGCCTGCTGTTGGTGCGTTTTGTTTCCTTTCAAATCTCTTTATCTCACTATCGTTTTTTTGCAGGTAAATTCTCAGGACAAGAAGTTCTAGTGTTCGACATTGACGGATTCGATGCTCAGGAATCTGTGAGTTTTCGATTGAACGAGAATAATCGACGAGCAATTCTAGATAATGCGCGCGGAGTTGCACTTCAATTTGCGACGTCGTGATCCGATGGCTCGACATCGCTCTCGTCAGATTCGCGCCAGAGCACTTTGCATCAACGAATATTGCCGCGAGCAGAATCTTCGCAAAATTCATAGTACCAATGATGATGAGCACGAATATAAGGTGGTTTGGGATGCGACGAAACCAGTCTTTGATTCTTATCATCTTGATGCTAAGCAGGTCGTTATTCGGGTAATTTGTATTTTATTTCGCTTCATTATTCGAATAATTTCAGATTAGCCGCGAACACACCAGAATGCGTCCATATTCTGAGATGGTCCGTCGTAGTTCGCCATTCCTCGTGATTTATTCACAAGTCAATCACACTCTCGACACGAATACCGTAATCCGACAGGCGGAACAGGCGAAGCGCAAGCGTCGAGAGATTGGAAGAGAGGAAATGAAACAATATTATACATATGCGTCAATTCCACTTGATGAGGATAACAAACCGCCAAAGAAAAAAGTGAAATCGTTTAGTGGCGAGATGTCGTCGGAAGACGTGTGGAACGGCTTCGGAGAAGAGTCGCGCGAGGATCGAGAAAAGAACGAGCTCGACGATATGGCTAATGATGTTCGTGTGGTGCTTCTGCAAAACAAAAATGTAAGAATTACGCGATTCTCTGATAAACTCGTTCGATTTTTGAGAAATGCCACAAAGAAGGAACCTTGTTGAGCATCAAACAATTCGGATGGGATGAGTGGCTGATCTCGCCTAAAACAATCGAGACGTCGTTCTGCAAAGGCCGTTGCACTAAGCCGCTCTCGAAAGCATCCAATCACGCGCAGATGCAATCCCTTTTCGCTTCCGAGCCCATCTGCTGTGCTCCATCCAATCTCAAATCGTTGAATCTTCTTTATCGCGACGAAAAAGGACGAACAACCATCCGAAACTATCCGAGAATGCTCATCGGCTCGTGCTCGTGCCTCTAATTCAAAACCCTATTATATGTTATTTTGTGTTGTGTATTTTAGCCTCCAATTTTTCCTCCCATTCAACCGACTCAATCCCGACATGAATCTCACACTTTACGCATTTTAATTAAATTATATTTCTATTGACTGAATAAACACATGATTACCTCATATTTACTGGAAATTTGCATAAATGTGGGCGGCCAAAATGGTAAGGTAAACATAATGAATGGTGTGTGTGTGACTGTGGTGAAAATTGCACCAAGTGATTTCATTAGCCGACATGCACATCAGTCCGGTGCTCTTTTTGATTTTTCTTGTTCAATCTGGAGCAACTCAATACTATTTTGGTAAGTTTCCGGCATTCAGTTTTCTGTTTCAGTTAAATTAAATTGTCAAATAGAAATACCACTTTTTTTTCGAAAATTTTAAAAATAAAGTTAAAACAATGTCATTTTTTATGCGTAGTTCTTCATATTTCAAATAATTTTTAATATAACTTCTCAGAATATATTACTTATTTCAATTAAATATGACAATATGTATTAATCTTTTTTTTAGGTAAACTCCAAAATTATGGATGCCGTTGCCTGCAGAAGGACAAAGCTCAAGAAATATTGAATCCGTATTCAAAACAACCGTTTGAGTGAGTTTCTGTAAATGTCATAACCTATAAAACTAATCAAAAATTAATTAAAGAAATTTGGAAATGCGAGCAAGAGAGCCGACATTAACTTCGAACCTTCAGCACAAGGTAGCGCGATCAAGTTTTAGGCTCTTTTTCTAAAAACTCATCCATTTTTAGATACACATGCTGAAAGAATGGCTCGCGAACCTCTCGTTACATCCATTGAGGGAAACACCAACACCAACACCGCCACCAACCACCATTGATCCTTTGGCGCTACCTTATGAAGATGGAATCACAACAATCAACAGTACGGTGATGCGGATTATCCAGAAGATGCTCTCAAAGTATTTTAAGAAATGGAGTACGATCGTTCTTCGTATAATTCATTCGAATATCCAGATGGAATTACAGGAAGCGAATGGAGTATTCTCGATCGATTCGAATGCGTTTGTCAAGGCGATCTAGTCGAGCTGCTCAAGGCGAAAACTTTTATTAATATTCAAATTGCACATGACTAGCAGCAGTTTAATTATTAAGCATCAATTATTAAAAGTGGAATAAATTGTTGGCATTATTACACACTCATTTCTACTATACCTACTAGACTGAGAACCTTATGAAAGGAATGTTGGTGAAAGTACATTGGCGGCAAGTGCCGAATCGGTGAAAACTGATGGCGAGAGGACTGAAGGTGAAAGAACGACACCAGAGAGAATGGTTGGCGAAAGAACATCAGGACAAAGAACGAATGGCGAAAGAATCAGTGGAGACAACACGTAAGGATTGATGACGTTGGGGGAGAGGACGTACGGTGAGAAGACATAGGCATTGAAGACGGCAGCTGATAACACGTTCGGTCCGACGACGTATGGAGAGAAGATGAGCGGATTTCCGACTTGCGGTGAGATGACTGGTGGAGAAATGAGCAGCGGAGACAATATGCTGGGACAGAACAGTTGGGGCGACAATGTGAGTGGTCCCAATACGGAAAGCTGAAAACAAAACGAGCTCGATGAGCACAATGATTGAATGAAATACCTGATTGATTGTTGGAGAGAATGCTTGTGGCGAAAGCGTAGTCGGATTCAAGAAAACGATTCGATAAGCCCCATTGAGCAGAGTAATTGTCTGACGCTTAATACGTCTTCCTCTGAAGTCGGTGGCTCCGTTGCCTCGAGCAATTTCCCGGATTGTCATCCGAATCGATTCCTCCTTTTGCTCAGGTGTCATCGCATCGACTTTATTAATATCAAATGGCAACGGCGTCACTGAGGTATTGTATATTCCATTCTCACCGTAGAGAAGTTCTAGTTGTTTTTTATTCATGAATGAGAATTTCTTGTTCATCATGTCAAGGTTTTGCGGTTTCGTCATGATTCTCTTGATCGTTTCATAAGCTCCATCCAACAGGCTGCTAATATCGAACATGTCTTTGTCGAGACCCTGCTTCCTCAATCCTTGCACCAAGTTGAGCGCATCATCAACCACGGTGTTCACGCCGCTCACATCCATGACCAATTCGAGAACAGAGTCTCGATCCTTTCCATGCAATCCCGCATTCTCGAGAACAGTAGGAAGTGGAAGAACACTATTTTCGCTGTCATCCTTATACAATGGGAACATGTCTGGTGAAAGTAGATGTCTGAAATTAATTATTTGTATGTACATATATGGATAGAACCGATTTCCATGGTGTTCGTCGATTTTAAATACATTTCTCAATCTATATTTTAAAAATCATTTTTTTTTTTAAATCTAAAAGTGTGCTTTTTACAATAAACCCAACGATAGCCAAATTGTTATGAAACTTCGGTTCAACTTTCCCCAAAGTGATGATTGAATTTGTTATGATATTAAATTTTAAATTTTTTTTGAGAAAACTACAACTCATTAAAAATGAACACAGAACTTAAAATTCGTTTAAAAATTTGATTTTTTCATATTAAGACCATATAAAATCACAAAATAATAAGTTTTTAAAGATTTTTTCTGTATGAAACCCAACGTGGCAAATCAATCATTCAAACAACGGTGTCTCGAATGCATCCGTCCACGAAAGTACTGTTTTTAATTTTATCATGCGGGCAAAAAAGCAAAAAAAAGCAAAAAAAAGCGGGCATTTTTGAATCGACGCTCTGAAAAATATGTGTAAAAAGAAGTTAAATAGAAAAGTGAAAACTTATATGCTCCTAACACCCCATAATTAGTATGTAAATGTCTCGAATCAGTTCGAACAACCTCACCGAATATGATAGTCTCTTATCCATAAGGTCTTCGCATATTTTCGTAACTTCAACTAATGGTTCGATGAATTCAGCAATTCAGAAAACCCCAAAATATTGTTTTTTTTTTCAATGAAAATTATGTGAAAGAATAAAACTTGAAAGAAAAAAACTCTACGTGATTTTCTATTTATTTTTAATTGCACATCAAATTTTTTTTGATTGAGAAATGCACTTGAAAATGACGAACACTGCGTATAATTTTGCTCGCGACTGTAATTTCGAACATACTTTTTAGTTTGGAATTTGTCGGGCATGATTGGCAAAAACCTTGGCGACAGAAAATTGGCGTTCACGTCGTTCGTGTGCTTCGAGACGCTGTCGACCAGCCCGTAGACGCTTTCATCAACAAGACCGTCAGGCGTAATGTCCCTCAAGCGATCAGTGAACGATTTGCGGCGTCGCAATGGATGTTTGGTACCGATAACCATGTCAAGCATTCTATTCTTGTATTGGTTCTTGGCACGCGATTCTGTGACAGCATCTTGGAGCTGAAGTCGCCTGGTTGGAATTAAATCGAGAAAAAAATGTGTCTAATACTTACCCGCTTGAGACTGCTATAAGAGGATTCGAGTGATTTTTCGGTTTCATTCGCTCTCACGATTTTTCGGATCAAATTCGTCATCACTTTCACCGGACTTTTCTTCGAATCGAGCAAAAACGGCATCGAGTCGCGATTTTTCGGCCTATAATATCCGCGATCTTCGCGATCAACACGCTTCGCCTCATCTTCCGCTTCCTTCTTCAATGCAATTCATCAAATTATTTAATTTTTTATACTTGCAAAATACGTTTGAATAAAGAGAAAGAACGTTTCTCTTCAATCTTCGTCTCATATTATTGATTTTCTTGAGTTTTTCAAGTCCTTTTTTGCTGACATTGTGCTTCGAAACCAAATCGCGTCTAAATTTACGAGCACAATTTTTTTCTCGTTCACGGAAATCAAACCTCATAGTTTTTCTTCTTTTTACCAATTTCAGTTTGTCTTTTTGAATTTTGTTGATGATTTTTGCAGCCTCGGATTTGGCGACCTTTTGTAAAAACTTCTTCTTATGCTTCGTTTTCTTGATTTTCTTGATATCGATTTTCGCCATCGGAAGAGCATCTTGTTTATCAATAAAATCAAGTTTTGGATCCATTGAAGCGGAAAAATATTGCTCTTCCTGAAATTTGTCGTCCCAGAACTGAGCGAGTTTGTTGATTTACCAATTTTCCATCGAATGCTTTGACGAGACAATTCGCTCCCGCTTTCACATCATATTCCTTTTCAATCGAATCAAGACATGCCACAAATGCTCGTCTTTCAGATCTAAAAGACCGATTTTGATATTTTGAATTGCTTTGATTGATACAACATTTGAATATAATCGAAAAATCCGCATTCTTATTCCGCATAATCAGACGCATTTTTATAGATCATAAAAATAGTCTCGCGCTGATTAGTCAATCAGACGATCATGTTTTGTCTCGTTATATGTGTGATTCAAAAACTGACCGTTTCATTTTCATGTACATTTGTTTGCCGACAGAGCCGAGAAGAGCACTCAGAGCTTGCATGTACCAACCATAATGAAGTTGTTGAAACTGAAATTGGAACAAGGATCAGTTCAAAAAAAACATTGGAAATGAAAATAGAAAATACTTTTACGAGCTGTTTGTCGTCCATTTTAACGCGCTGCATCGCTTCGATTTTCGCATGGCTCACACATTGAACTAACGAGAATAATGCTGAAATTCGGAAATATCTGGTGACGGTCTTGTCGGCTTGCTATGCCAGAAAAGGGATCATCAGGAAAATTATTCGGTAATTCTCTCAATAATTCTCCCTCCCCCCCCCTCTCAAAATTTTAAGACTTTTTGAAATGTTTGCAGTAAACGGCATAGCACAAACGATAGGGAATTTCGCGAACATTTTGAGTGCAAAATTAGAACAAATTGCAAACAACTAGTTAGAGATCAAAAAGGTGCCTACCTGCAATGCATGCGATCCCCAGCCAATGTCGCATTTATGCACTCGATGATAGACGAATGACTGAATACGAGGCTTTTTGTTGTTTCGCGGCGATCCCGCCCCCTTGTCACCGTGGACAGCTTTTCTCGTCCCAGGTTTATCCGCGCTAAAATTACCGTACACACCATCGCACTTTCGTGTTTTTTCGTGCGCATTACGGTAGATAAGAAGAGGGAAGCGGTCAAAACGAAATGAAACATTTTCGGCCTGATAGATCAATTTTGAAGAGTGTGTGGAACGAAATTGACCGAACTTTTAATTGAAACAAGAATAATTGATCCGAAAACTGTGTATCTGTGTATCGCCACTTTTCGATCCGAGTTTGAAATGAGCGTCGAATCGTTGGTGATAACAATTGCGCGAACATATGGTTATATTTTGATCTTCACCGGTCAGAAATGTCCTGATGGATCTCCACTGGATTCCAGGATCGGATCAAATTATTAATTATTCGGTTTGGATCAATGCAGTTCGTTTGAGACTTTTCAAACATTAATCAAGCAAGATTGATGAGTAAACGCGACATTTTGACTTCAATGGTTGATCTAATATATCTATCAATACGAAACCGGGGCTTTTCCTAGGATTTGGCGACAGGGAATACTATTTCAGAGCAGGCCCTGGTCTTCGTGTCGAAAAAAACCCCGAGTTGAGTTTACCGAGATGTGACTATACGAACACTTTAAACGACGTTTATATTTCATGAGGGAGAATTTTTAGCTAATTAGAGAAGTTTTTTTTTTTTTTCAAATTATTTCAAAAGTTTAATTATTTTTTAAACTCATTTTCTTCAAATATTGATAAGACTTTGAGCCGCTTTTTACATTTTTTTTTTACGATATCTCTTGTCAAGAATAAAATGTTCATTCCTTTCAATTTCGTGAAAAACTCTCTATGTTCGAAGAGACCTTATGAGTTCATCCGGAATCGAACTGAATAAAGGTGGTCCATGCGTTGGCCGGACCACGGATTTTCACCCACGCCGATGCCCACTAATTTCCGTCGATTACTTATTTGAAGCCAAGAAATCTCTTTTAGAAATTAGACTTGTTTCCAAATTACATTACCATCGCAAGAAATAGCAAACGAGCGCCTTGCATAATTGTGGACCATTGAACTTTTTAGAGGCGGTAATTCAAATTCGAATTTAAACACTGGGAATTCGGCCATGGATAATCTGCGAAGTTGACTCATCGTAGTTCTAGGGGCTCGTTTTTTTTCGAATTTTGTAATACTTATTGAAGTTTTAAAAAACATTAACCTCAATTTGATTTACCTTAAAAATATATTCCAAACTCAAATTATCTAGTTGAGAAATCAAAAAAATTATGTATTCATAGAAAAAAGTAACAAAGACCCATCGATGTACCAGTAATTAATTATGCTCGAAAAACAAATCTGCTTGAGACGGGAGTGCTATTAATCATCTCGCCAGACTAGTGTCTAGTCGGAGGAATAGGTGATGTCCCGAAACTATAAAACGATCCAACAATATCGAATGATTATTTTCTTCTTTTTTGAATATATTCTTGTTAGTGACTTTTGAGCATTATCTTTTTCTTGTAGTCATATTCCAACAACAACAGTTCAGAATAACACAACATTCATTACTTGAACTTTTTTCGTCATCAGCGACCTTTGTTTCAACGGCCTTTTCAATAAAACGTCCTTCTGATCATCGTTGCTCGATCGAAATGTATAATTTGTCGATTCGAAAAGTTGCCATGCCATCGTCATTTCGAAGCGACGACGATGCGATATCGATGCGCGAGATTTCGAAATGATAAACCACCGCCACAGCCGAATAAGGTGCGTGTGTGGTTGAATGGATGACCAATCAGTTGATCGGTCAATAAATGTTCGAGACGACTCTGCAAAAATGAGGGTTTCAAAATTAATGGGGCACTGATGTCAGATAGCGGCAAGGACAGCCCATTGAAAACAGTCAACGTCTGTTTTTCGTGTTCCTCCACCAACTTTATTGAACATTGTCCATTTTTAAGAAGCCATCCAAACTCGAAAATTTCCAAAAAAAAAGTGTTCGAATTGCCGCCAAAACATCAGTGTTTGCAGAAAATTGAGATTTTTTGTATTTTCTTGAAAATGTTTTTTCATTTTTGGTTTTTGATCTTAAGTTATTAACATTTGAGGTTTAAAGAAACTGAAAAAAAATGGTAGTGTGCAAAAAATGTGTGAAAACACCGTGACGCAAATTTCGCAGAAAAACCCCCACGAATGCCTATCTCGAACACCCAATCCGCTTGAGCAGTTTTGAGGGCTTCTTTTATGCGCTCTTTAGAACAATCATTATAATTTTTTATTAAAGGTAACGTTTGAAATGACAGAATATACAAATTTTCGAACCGCTAATTCTTAAATTAATGGTCAATTCAAATACACTTTGCGATAATCATGGCGAGACATCGCAAAGTATTTTATTAAAGAGTTTCTTGGTTTTCTTTGTGCTATTTTTCAAACTTTTCTATATTCTTTGAATAATTCGTCATTCGCATGATTCATTGTTTCCAGCCAAAAGAAAAAAGAGATACATTTTTTGATTTAAAGCTAAATGTCTTTCTATGGTGTTTCTTAAATAACCTTCATGTGGCCTACTTATAACAATCGTCTGAAATAATTGTATATTTCAGTTTACAAAATTAGAAATTCCAAAAAATCGATTTTTCTCAAAATTCATTTGTGTGTGTGTGTGTGTGTATTCTTAATACCACTGCTACCGTATCCACAAAAACAATGCAGAACGTGTGAAACTGTCGACGATCGTCTCGAAACTCTGTCTCCGCAATGTTCAGCCGCTTTAATCACCTGTCCATCGTTTGATTTATGCGCTCTACGCTTCAGCCGGTTTTTGTCTCACGAGATTTCTCGAAGCACTTTCAGGAACAATAAAAGCAATCTTATTATTAGATGTTGGGGGTTAATATTCAAGATTATTTTTAAAAAATGATTTGGGCGTGGTGTGGAAGAAGAACAATCGACGACATTCGAAAATATATATTTAAAAAAAAACTAGCCACATTCTTTCATTCAGTTTGTATCTGCTAAGATTTTCTACTGGAAACTTCTCAAATTTTAATATGGTATTTTTCGATTTTTCATCGCTGAAATTGGCTCAAATCAAAACGATGGCAATGACTCTTCGCTAATCCAGAATTGATATCCACATCTTTTACATTTCCGACCTTGATTTCTCTAATTATCTCTTTCATTTTAACACAAAAAATTTTTATTTAAGTGAATTTTGTTGAAACTCCATTATTCAGAGAAAAAACCCAAATCGAGTTGTCAATAATAAATATATCATTTCGCTCAATGTGTGGTATAAATAGCCAACACTAATTATCATCCTTTTCGTGGTCACTCGATTCTCGGTTCAATACCGTACTCTTATCAAGTTCTCTCATCTCTTCGACATGTACCGTAACATCTTTTTACGATTGCAATGAGATCCGTTTTGTAAACGCAGAATGGGGAAAAAAATGTGGATCCAAAAAGTGCTTCATTCAATAGATTTGAATTGATATTGATTTAGTATCACAATAACTAAAGACCATAACCCAACAATGAGAAAAAGGAAAACAAAAAATAGTGGTTAAATTGATTCAGATTAGGCCATCGGATTCGCTTTCATCAATGCGATGTCGCTGGCAACCATTTCCTTGACAAGATCCTGCAATTCATATTGGTTGTTTAAAACCATTTCCGGCAACTAATTAGCTCACCGGAACTTCAATTTTTGGCTCCCAACCCAACAATGTTTTTGCTTTGGTAGCGTCTCCGAGAAGAGTTTCAACTTCGGTCGGTCTGTAATACTAAAAACAAACCATTTTTGCATATAATTGGTTGATTTTCTCACAAACCTTCGGGCTGACTTTCACACGAATCACTCCCGTCTTCTTGCTGATTCCTACTTCGTCAATACCTTCTCCATTCCATCTAAAAAGAAAGATTCTCAAATAGATTTGTTTTCCTGTTGCCATTTTTACTCGAGCTCCTCTCCGATTTCCGCAAACGCCAAATTACAAAATTCTCTGACACTGTACTGTTTGCCAGTCGCAATTACAAAATCGTCCGGTTTGTCGTTCTGCAGAATTCTCCACATGGCCTAAAATTGTAAAATGGGTGAATTGATTGTGAGACCACACGGAATAACCTCGACATATTCTTTGGCGTGGCCCCAATCGCGAAGAGCGCTTAGATTTCCGAGTTCCACACATTCCTGTTGTCCTAAGCTGATCTTCGCAACAGCTCGAGTGATTTTTCGCGTCACAAATGTTTCACCTATATCATGCAATCTAATTGATTTGATTGAGGAGCATTTCAACCTCTCCTTGGGCTCTCGTGATTGAACAATATTCCATTACATGCAAACATATTGTAAGCCTCGCGATAATTGACAACAATCCAATAACCATACATTTTCGCAACCGCTGAAATACTTTTACACAATTTTCTGTCTCTTTTCCATATTTTCTATACCATATGGGGATCTTGGATAGAATGGGGTTTTTTCGTTTTGTGGAATCTCTTGCACTTTTCCGTAAAGTTCCGACGTTGACGCTTGATAGAATCGAACCTTCTCGGTAAGACCACATGCGTGAATCGCATCGAGAAGACGAAGGGTACCAATTGCATCCACTTCGGCCGTGTATTCCGGCAAATCGAATGACACTTTGACGTGAGATTGTGCGGCCAGATGATAGACCTCGGTTGGCTGGATCGTTTGGATCAGCTTATTAAGACATGACGAATCAGTCATGTCTCCATAGTGAAGGGAGAAGGAAGAATCAGCTAGAAACAAGAGAAAATTTTAAAAAGCGACAGGAAACTGAAGTCTACCATGATGAGTCACAGGATTACTGTAAAGATGTTCAATACGAGCAGTATTGAACGAAGAAGAGCGTCGGATAATTCCATGGACCTTGTATCCTTTGGAAAGAAGAAGCTCAGCGAGATACGATCCGTCCTGTAAAATAAGAAAAAAAAAGCTCAAAGAAAGTTTGATTGTCTTTCATATTTAGGAAATGCTTACTTGTCCTGAAATTCCAGTAATCAGAGCAACTTTTCTGGCGCGAAAAACTTCGATTTCATTTTTTGAGGCAGCCATCGGAGAGTGGCTGTTTTCGATGCAAGATTCAAGGCCCTGAATTGTGTATTACATCATTGTAAAGCAAATAAACCCTATTAGTGCAAACGATTACCATTTCACCCATTGTGAAAAACGAAAATGAGCTCAATCACACGCGAGAAAGCGAGTATTTGGGAAAAAAAATGGAATCGCTAGAGGGAAAATAGAAAATGGTCGACGTGGATGGCTATGAAATGATATTTTATGTCGCGGGCGTCACGAAATATATTGATATAAATATGGTTATTATTTGAAGCTGAATCAACATTTCGATGCGCGTGGCGTATTTCTAAAAACGATATTTCGTTATTTATACATTTGCAAAAGTTTTTGAAACAAAACTTGAAGTTTTTTGGAATTATCACATGTGATTAGTAAATCGTTTCTAAATTTTCGTTCTTTTCTTTAAAAACCCCGTTAAAACACTCATTCGCAAATTGCAGAAAATCTACTTTTTAACCATATGTAGGAAACCATATAATAACAGAGGAGAAATACAAAGTGGGTCGGACAAAGGATGAAGTGATACGACACTGTACGTTGCGCAATAGCAAACACTGCGGGTTGTGGTCGATAATTCCACGTTTCGGTTCGCGTTGCCAACTGCTTCTCGTTGCTGCGTCTCCATGTGACGGTGTGCTCTCTCAATAGAATGCCAGCTGGCTGTTGGTTCTCTTTTCAAATTAAACATGCTCATTTCTTTATCGGGATTTAACATTTCGAAATAAATGTTTATATTATGTCGAAAATGAGGTGGAAAACATGAAAGTGCCAATGAACACAAATGCAGCGCCGAGAATATGGAACATGTTGAAGGAATTATTGAAGACGAGGAACGAAATGAGCAGCGAGAGAAATTTGCGCAATGTTAACACCATCGTTACATTCAATGAAGTTGTTGCAGATGATAATTTGTAAACGCTCTTCGTACACATAAGTCTGAAAAATTGGAATTTTAATTGACTCGAAAGCTTCAGTAAATGTTCCGTGTTTCATAGTTTGACAACTGTTTGTACCATGATGATCGGCTGGCTTTTAAATTTTTATTTTGTTCTATCTTGATTCATAAAATTTCACTTTTTAATTAACTCGGTAAATTAGTGAAGTCTCTACTGAAGGCCTGTGCTCACTTTGAAGTGTCTCAGTTCAAATTTTGCGAATGGCCGAGGTGTCGACCGTGCGAAAATCGCGGCCACCAACGGTGGATTTTCACGCGATTTCACCTTGAACGGACCATCGAATTTCGAAAGAATCAGAGCTCATTTTCATGCTCTTTTGTTCGCGAACATCTAAGATTTAAACCAAATACATTAAAAAAAAAACAATTTTTGAGGAAAAGCTCGAAAAAATTGTTTTATTTTTAATTTGAAATCGGACCAAAAAAGGGATTCACACCAAAATCTTTTTTTTTTCGAAAATTTTAAAAAAAAAAAAAACCCAAAACTTAAATTGTTCTTAAAAAAAATAAACAAAAAAGCGAAGAAATTGTCACAATTGAACAAAAATTAGAAGGAAATCGGCAAATTTCTCTCAAACTGCGCTCAGTTCACGCAGATTTTAAGCAGGAGGCCAATAGCAAAAGTATGAGCATAAGCATGAGTTAATTTGGCTCGAAAATTTACCCACATGATTTTCTACTTTCCACGAGACACGATATTTAGCAAATATAGCGATGTTCTGTGTTCTTGGTCAGTTTGAATCCGACAATAAATAAAATAATAATTACTTACTGAAACACGCATATGACGAAAATGTAGACCCATGCAGATGGCACAACCGTACTAAAGCTACCAATATGAAATGGCGGAGTATGATTAGCGAAATGAAATGCTGATTTCATTTCATCTCCTAATAAAGCGAATGCTGGAATCGACAACACATGCTAAAATTAATACAATTTAAATTAAAAAGGTGCCTTAAAGTCATACAATATAGAACATCATCTCTTCATTGTGTTTCCCGTGACGCTGATAGAACGTTTCCTGATAAATTCCCAGGTAAGCGCTTAGAATCAACGCAAACGACAACAAAACTATTCCGACAATAAATGGCGGTATCGGAATTGTCCATTCCATGCTGTTCGCTCCATATCTTATTGCGTCACTCTGAAATCCAATGGAAAAGTTGAAAACAATTAAATATGTCATACCTGATTTTTCGGCTCATAGCTCGCTAAAGTGAAAATTATAATTCCAGCAGTGACGACAACCACAGATAAAATTTGTTTTAGAGAGTATCTGTATCCTCGAATTATGTATCCCAATGTCATATTCGCCAAAAGGGTCCCCTTCAATTGTTTTATTCAGTTTTATTTTAAAACTGTCCATACCGATTTGAAAATAATAAATAATGGAAAATATATTGCAAATTTGAGAGCATAATTATTAGCCATATTAACTGTGAAGAAAATTGCAACAATAGCCGCATAGGACCTGCATAAATATATAAGTTAAACAGAAACAATACAAAAAAATGGATTAAGCTCAAGAAACACTACCTTATTGGGATTTTATTAGAGACAGTGAAGAATTTTGAATGAAATATGAGACCATAGACGGAAGTGAAGACAAATGAAGAAAAGGTGATCAAGTTGAGACTGTCCTTCACATATCTTAACAGCTTTACTTGTTATACTTGTATGCTTTATTCGCTTATGTGTCTAATTTTAAATTTGAATTTAATGTTTGGCTTACTTTTGCAAATACTCAATGCCGGCCTGACATCCAACACATCCCAACAGCGTTGTCGTAATCACTCCCGCCATCAAGCAATCTTCTTCATGTGCTAAAACCCAAAATAAAAGGAAATCAAAATACCAAAAATATTCAAAACTGAAACACACAATTTGAGCCGTTTTTTAAGCGTTTGATAAAGTACAATTTCGTTTTATTCAGCGTTGAGATGCAATTGTGGAAACAAACAAATAAATGAATTGCTGAATACTGAACGTATCAGGGTTTAAAACCGGGATTATAAATCAAAAAGAAACGGACAATTGTGCGCGGGAAACAAAACATACGAATTATGCAAAAATTATCACAGACTAAAACGGAAGAAGCTCTGTTCGTCGTATCACAGAATCCAATCGATATGGTTGACAAAATTTTTAAAATTATTCGGGTACTTCACAGGTTACAGTGTCTTCGTCCACAACACTTTCGGCATCTTCCGGCAGATTTTGCGGAGCTGGAGTTGATCGTCCTGACTGACAATCTTGAAGAGCAGAACAATAATGAAGCATGAGGACAGCAAGAGCTTGAAGACGTTCATCAAGACCTTGGAATTTTACAGATTCTTCTGAAACTAAAACGTAATTTTTTAAAACTCAATTGGTTTTCAAACCTCCTCCGTTCTGCATCACACTAAGACGATCATCTTTCGTCTCTCTAATCGCAGCTTGAATCCTATCAATTTGTGAGTTGATTTTTTCGACGCGTTCGTTATGCGGCAATTCCGAAAAAATCTCTCTTCCAAGAAGTTTCGCATTTTTGATTGTTTGCTCATTATAAGCATTTCCGGGCTAAAAATTATTTACTAGAGACATTTGAGTAAATTGAAAAATATACATGAAAATACAAGCTATTGATAAATGGAGAACCCTCAAGACCGGGTAGAACATCGGAGAGAACATCCTGAATCGAAGCCATCGGACTATCACGCTCAGCGACTTCGCTTTTCGTCGATCCATCTGTTGACCAACTTGTGCTGGAGTTACTCACCAATGATTGCCGATCAGTATTGCTGAAATAATAAGAAATCAATTTTTAAAATTGAATTTCGTTATTTTTACTTCTCATCTTCCCTCCGTCTTCCACTTTTCCTCCAATTCGAAAACTTTTCCGTAACCTTACGGAATCTTGCACGTTTTGATGTCTCCGGTGTATCTGGTGGAATAGAGGATTGAGAAGGGGATTGAAGAAGTGTTGGACGAGGCTCATCCGGATGATCAGCTCCATTTTGAACAAAATTTTCAGTTGCAGAAATCTATACAAAATTCAAACTATTGATGTATTTCCAAACAAAGGAACCTCTTCAAATTCTTCGTCGTTTTGAGACGTTTGATCTGGAGAACAAACGATTCCCCCTTGATTTGCTTTTACAACACATTTATTATGGCAAATGACAAGACATCTCGAGCAGCAAGAAGCATTTCGCAGCCAAATTTTTCCACGACACATTGCACAAGTGGCATCTGAAATGCATATTAATTTTCTGATTTTCATGAAACCAAACTTACTGCTTTTTCCGTACCACAATTTCCAATCATGATTTGTGGGATTCAATGCTGGAGGCGAGAATCTTCGATGACATGACTCCGTATTCGACATTGATGCTCGTACCATCTCTTCATCTGATTCTTCCCCAGAATTCAAATTTCCATTTGGAAAACCGTCGGGGAAATATCGAAAACCAAGAGTAATATCGCCGAAGCAAAGCCTGGGGTCGTATCCGGCATGTCGCGAGAATTCGCTCAAATTAGGATCCTCTTTCGTCACGGCAGCGGATTGCAAAGGTTGCTTCAATTGAAATATTTCACGATGGCAGTTGGACAGAGTTAATTGGCAATCATCAATGAGCTGCGGGATGAATAATGAAACAGATCCAAGAACAATCGGCTTGTCAACTATTGTCCTCGGGGTTGAAGATGTTGACAATGAATCTACGGAATTGATAGTCTCAGGTGTCGAATTGGCGCTAGAAGAAGGACCCGGAGATGACATTGGAGTCGATTTGACTTCTCTCGCTTGTACAGTGATGTTGAGATATCTCAATTGATATTTTGCAGTCGGATCAAGTTGAAAATGCAAAGATTGTCCCCACATGACATCCTAAATTCTCCTCATTTTGTTCAATAAATAAATCATTGTCGCGCGATTGCGGAAAGTTGGCTAAATGCCAAAAATATACTTGGCGGGCGATATGCACCTTTAACCTTTTGCCGTAAATACACATTTCTAGTTTAGCGCCAAGACTACTACAATTTGTTTTTGCATTTAGCCATATAAAATCAATTGCGCGATGCCAAATAAAAATGGGATACCTTTGAAAATGGAATGCTCTTTGTAGTTCTAATCTTCTCAGACTGTTGATAACCGGAATTCGGCGTTTTCGGATATGGCTGTTTCACACGACATTTCGGCGAATCAGAAAGTTTTTTCTTCAGTTTCTTTTTCTCCTTTTTATCATCCGTTGGGGTTCGTTTTCCTGTTGAAGGAGGTCTTGATAAGCTCTGAAATTCTGTGAATTCGAACAAAATTTGAGAACCATGAAACCTCTTTATTATCATCAAAAATTGATCCAGCATCTGCTCCAATTTCGATACACTCTGAACCCAAGTCCATCTCACTATTTTTTCGTTTTTGTACAACAAGATCCATCACTTTCTTTTTGCCAGCAGCAAACGTCGCCTGGATTTTGGTTTTTTTAGTGCTTTGCGGTCTTTTCTTTCCGGCTGCATTCTCAGCGTCGTCGTCTTCGACAGTTTCTCCTTCAGTGTCGGTACGATTCGAATTGACAGACAATAGCGACGCGACGCTTCCAATTTCCTGTACAATTCGCAATAAGTATAATAATTTTTCTTTCAAAATTTAATACCGATGATAGAAAAGACATTCCTTTCGCAGCATCTGCTTGCGTCAATGTTTTGTCTTTATCGACTCGTCGATCGACTACATTCAGAACATTATCATATGAGCTGTCGTTCAATCCATTAATTCGGCGAATCTCTTTTTCCACGACATTCTCAGCTCCAAAATGATCCGAACTTGACATAATTGCTTCAATCACCTTCGCGTCAAGACGACTTTCTGATTGAGTTCGTCGAAGATCAAAACTTGGCTGACTAACGACAACTTGAGGTACTCGAGCACTTTCAGCTCGTTGCACAGAAGCTGTAGTGGGCTTCTCAAACCGAGAAACATCTGCAAAAAGCTTTTTGTTGTTTATAAAATATTCAATAATCGTACTACAAAATTGAATATGCAGATTTTGGAAAAGAAAACTCAGAAATCAGATTTAAAAAACTACTTTCTTCGTAATATAGCAAAGAATTTCGAGTTTTTGAAAAATCAGCACCCTTTGAATTCGAAAAAACAACTAGATCCGTCCAGAAGCATTCCATTCTAACATTCATTCGTTTTTGGTTTCGAATTAGAAATAATTGAAATTCAACATTTTTTTGTATTGTAACTTCAAATAATCACCAAGCCAATCTTCAAATTCAATATCAAACGCTGTTCAATTGACCATTAACAAGTTGCTTGACTTTTTTCGGTTATTGGTATTAAGTTGACAACACATTTTCTAGCAATTCGGTATCATGACTGTCGGAACAAACATCCCGAAAACCGGCTACTTATCTATCCAATTTCCACTCATTTTCTCGTGTTTCGATTCAATCTTCCAAAAATGTAGGAAAGAGTGGGAGGGGAGCGGAGACACAGATGATAATCATAGGCGCGGCCAAACCAGGAAACTGTTCAATAAATGAGAGACAACGCCAGAAAGACGGAATTCAGAGAAGCAAATAACTTTGGTGTAATGTCGAAAAAAATTCCCGAAAGTTTGCGTATTTAAGACCGCGCAGCGTATCGAATGGTCACAGTCGATTCGACCGTCCGACAATTCTCATGGACATCGACTCAAAGATCAAGGCGTACCGTTTCGTTGGTTACGCGGCTCTCACCTTCTCAACGATCGCAGTTTTGTCGGTGTGCGTCACCTTGCCAATGGTGTACAACTACATTCACCATGTCCGTCGCACCATGCACCACGAAATCATCGAGTGCAAGGCTGAGGCCAAAAAGCTTTGGGGAGACGTCTATGCCATCCCAGACCTTATCGGCGGAGCTCGCAACCGTACCGCTCGTCAGGTGAACGGGCAGTGCGAGGGTTGCTGTCTTCCAGGAGCTCAGGGACCACCAGGAGCTCCAGGAAGCACAGGACGACCAGGAAAGCCTGGAGCGCCGGGACTCAACGGAAATCCAGGACGTCCACCAAAGGAGCCATGTGAGCCAATCACTCCACCACCATGTAAGCCTTGCCCTGAGGGACCACCAGGACCAGCCGGACCTCCAGGACCAGCTGGAAACAAGGGACCACTTGGACCACCAGGACCACCAGGACCTCCAGGAGGCCCAGGAATTCCAGGAAACAAGGGACCATTGGGACCACCAGGACCAGGAGGAAAGCCAGGACCAGCCGGACCACCAGGAGAGAACGGACGAAACGGAGAGCCACAGCCGGGATCACCAGGAGAGCCAGGACGTCCAGGACAGCCAGGGCCACGTGGACCAGCTGGAGAACCAGGAAAGGATGGAGCTCCAGGAGCGCCAGGAGAGAAAGGAGCTCCAGGAGAGCCAGGACAGCCAGGACGCGACGGACAGCCAGGACATCCAGGTCAGCCAGGAAAGGATGGCCATCCAGGAGAGAAGGGAGTCTGTCCAAAGTAAGTTGATCTCAGCAATTTCCAATAATTCGTTGGATTATCTCAGATACTGCGCTCTCGATGGAGGAGTCTTCTTCGAGGATGGATCGCGTCGTTAATCAGCCAATGCTTTCATTATGCGGTCGAGTGTCTGGCTACACTCCCGCTGTCAATTCATTCAAAAATGAAAATAAAACATTTTCTAGCAACTTTTTTTTTGAATGGCATCACCATACCACATGCATATTTGAAATATAAAACAACACTTACTAAGAGACATCAGCGAAGAAGTGATTGATTCCGTGTTTGTATCGATCATTGATGATTCGAAATTCGAAACACTGTGGCGGCGACGTGCTGAAAAAATGTTTAATTCAAGTCAAGTCGGGAAATTGACAGCGAAGACTTCTAACAATTATAATTTTCGGAAAGAAACTAGAAATATGAACATATTTCAAACATTTAATTAAGAAATTTGAATGAAATCTTTCAAAATGGGATACGACAACGTTGTTTACGTTAGCAAAAAGTAGAATATGCATGCATAATATATCACTGTTTTTTTTAGTATAAAGATATACAGTACCGCTCAAAAGGTTGGAAACTTTTGGTTTTTTGGGCATAACTTGATCGAAAATGTATGGATCGAGACGAAACTTTCAGATATATTGATAAACATAATCAGAAGATTATTGGTACGGTAGTCTTATCATACGCAATTATGTGTGAAGTTTTTGTGGGATTTTTCATTTTTTTTCAAAAATCACTTTTTTCAACTTTTTTTTCAAAAGTTTTTTACTATTTTTCTGTGCTTCTTTTTGCATGCCGTTATTATTTTTGTAATTTTAGACATGTCCACTATCGAAAAAAAATGGGATCTTGACTGTTGAACAACAACGGGCAATTTACGCAGGGCGTCAAACTGGAGCAACCCTGCAGATGTTGGCCGCCCAGTTTGATGTCACAAAAACTTGCATTTTCAAATGTTTGAAAAGATGAGAAACTCAAGGAGGGATCCCAAAGAAGTACCATATTGGACGACCACGCGTGACAGATCGTGCGACTGATAGAAGCATTGTACGAGCCTCCAAATTCAACCCGCGAATGACGGCACCGGCGATCCAGCGCGAAGTTTTTGCCAATTCTCCATCGCTTGTTTCGGTATCAACAATCAAACGCCGTTTATCATTGGCAGGATTTCTCGGAAGATAACCAGTGAAGAAACCGTTCATTTCGGAGAAGAATAGACGACGCCAGGTCGAGTGGGCTAAGCAACATCTGAATTGGACGCGATTTGACTGGAATGGTGTTCTTTGGTTGGGTGAACGCTCGTTGGAAGTGACGGAATTCAATCGGTTCGCCGTCCTGTAGGTTCTCGATGCAATCCCAAGTATCAAACTCCTACCGAAAAGCACGGGGCAGGCAATTGCATAATTGGGGGTGCCTTTTCCGGAAAAGGCATATTCGCCCTTCACCATGTGAAAACAATCATGGATCGCTTCGTCTATAAGGAGATCCTGGAGAAGCAGATGTTGCCGCGTTTTAATCCAATGGGTCGTGGTTGTGTTTACCAACAGGACAACGACCCAAAGCACACTTCCAAATTTGTGAAATTAAGAAAATTAGTTTTTTTTCTCATATGTTCATCAATTGAGGATTGGTTCGCAAGTCAGCACATCAAGGTTATGGACTGGCAAAGTCAATCCGCGGACTTGAATCCCATCGAGCACTTGTGGGAAGAGTTGGAGAGAAGTGTGGCAAGCAGAACCACCACAAATTCGAACGAAAAGTTCCGACAATTGGAAGAAGAATGGAAAAAGATTCCACTCTCGGACATCGACTCCATGTCTAGCGGGTGCCAGGCAGTTATTGACTCCCGAGGCTTTGCAACCAAGTATTAACCTTATAATTTAAGTTTCCAATGATTTTATGTTAATAAACTATCTTTCCGGTAAAAAAAACCGACTTAAATTGCATATCCAAAAAAATGTTTTTCCGGATTTCTGAAAAAAATAGTCTAAAAACCTTATTCGGTAAGCACGAATCATGTTTAATAGCTCATTATATCGGCAATTGCGTAAGAAACAATCGGAAAAAAAAGTTCATGGGAATAAGTTTGGTTTCAAAAAAGATATGCCCAAAAAACCAAAAGTTTCCAACCTTTTGAGCGGTACTGTATATTTCTTTTGGCTCTAATCATTTGATTTATTTTTTCTTCTCAGGCTCCGTCTAAAATTAGATTCTCAGTTTTTGAACGTACGCTTGTCACAAGTCAAACGACACGTTACACAGCAAACTGCACTTAGCTGTGTGAAACACCAGCACAACACACTAGATCAAAAGAGAACTTACGACTGATCGGACTGTTTTTCGGAACCACGTTCCTCTCGACTAAGGCTTCATCGCGGACCGATTCGATCGGATTGTCGGATTTTGGCTCGTCAACATCGCGAACGTCGCTAACTACGATATTGTCTGAATGTTTAGCGAAACACGGTTAGCACACTTGAAAGAAAAACGAGAAAGGTCGAAAAGAATGCACCTTTCAATTCTTCGTCGTCGATATCATCAAGACTTCTTTCAACTAGAACTGTCAATTCACCAGTGGTTTGCTGAAGGAATCGTGTGACTTGGCGTTCGGATCGAATTGGAACATTGTTGATCGCAACAAGAACATCGCCTTAACATTATTTACTATTCGATTATTTCGAGACAAATTTAACCTGGTTTGAAAGCAGCTTTGTCAGCGAGACTATTATCTTCAACACTGAGAACTCGAACAGGTTTCGATGCATTTGTGGCCTTTTCGAAAACCAAACCAATTGGAGCAAGTAGATCATATCTCGAGAATGTCAAAAGTACACTCACACAATGACCCTGTTCCTCATTTTGTACTAATGGACGATACGCTGAAGAAAGAGAAGATGAGCACACGACGGGCAATGAATGATTAATCGATTTACCCATGGCAACCGTGCAAAACACCTCGTAATTTCTATTTTTGTCATCGAGAAGAGATCTTTTGAGTCGACTACACTGTAAAACGGTGACCTCCATTCCTCCTTCAAGTTTTATATGCGAAAAACTGTGAATCGGAGGTGATGCTTGGAATATCGGATTCGGGAAAAATGGACGATAGCGAATCTTGTAATTCGGCCACACATGTTTCCTCTGAAGACTTCGACGGAATGCTTCCTTTATGATCGGAATTAAACGCTTTAATTGGTGGCCTTGATATTGAGAATTGATCTAAAATTGGGAAATTAAAATTTTTAAAAATTAAGTAGAATAAATTTACGTCTGTCTCGAAAATCGGTTGAGATACAAATGAGAACGTCCAATGATGGTAGGGTTTTCTTGAAAGAATCACTCGAACCATTCCAGCAAGTTTTGTAATCTAGAAGAACAAGAAAATGTAAATTATAAATAAGGAGAAAAAAAATAAATTATTAAACCTTAACAGACAAGCTGACTTTCTTTGTGATAATTGTGTCAACATCAATCGACGTCTCAAAACCTCCAGAATAATCGATATCGAGTATGAACACAATTTTCTATAATCCCTTTTGTCTTTTGTGAGAAAAAACACGCGAGACTACCTCGAATGTGCTATTATCATCAGCCATTTCGACATTTTCCACGCGAATTGAGTTGATTGTCATAAATTTGACACCTAATGATAATTCACGAATTCGTATTTCTTGAATAAGTCGACCGGCAGTTGAACGAGTTGTGATATCATTCATTTCCATTTGAAGCCGTTTATGAACCCATCTGAATTCAGAACAATAAATAATTTGAGTAATTATTAATTAAACCTTCGAATCGCTCGTGTATCTTTATGCTCTTGAAATAAAATATGCAGAAGTAGACTTATCGAATTACAAGATTCCCATTTTGAAATACCCTGCCCATCATCACCAGATTTCAGAAATTTGCGCAATTCCTGCATAAGAGAAAATTGTCGATTATATGATAAACGTATAAAAAGAAAACCTCGGGTATCTGAACAGGCCGAAATTGCTCAATGGGAGGCTGCTCATGCTCGACTGGTGGTCTAAACGGGTTGAAAACATATATATACAGAAAAACAACAACCTGAAAGCAAAGATTAATTCGAAATGTTTGGTTAACTTACAATAGCGACTCCGACAAGAACGCCAATCAGAAATTGGAGCATTTCAGCGACGCACAAGACGACGCCGTTCTCCGCCGACTATTGACAATTTTGGCCTCCAATGCCTCTCTGCAAATACGAATAAGATGAAATGTTCGCCTTGGAATTCAATTTCGACGGCCCATTTTTGGCAACTATGGAAACTCGTATTATGATGAAAAAAAAAAAAACGAAAAACACGCGCACAATGAAATCATCAAGAAAAAATAACGAGAGAACAACTCATATCATCATATGGTACAACTCGCAATTGATGATGGGAGCTGGACGAGAAGTGAGTGGGGCAAACGAATGAGCTCGTAGATACCAAGCAAGAATGAAATGAGTTTGTCAAAAAACGAGAAGAAACATGGAAAAAGAAGAGAAGATATATAAATATATTGGATGGCTGCCTCCGGCCATGTGAGATGTCTCAATTGTTTGATGAATTGCGTTCACACATGTTAATTGACAAGAAAGAAACTCATGGTAATTTTGAAGCTGAAGCGAATTGTGATTTAAACCTTGTTTCCATTAGTAATTTTGATTTTTTGCATGTTCAATCTAAAAAATCAAAAATCAAAAATGTTGAAATTGTTTTGGAATGCAAATTTGTTCTTAGAAAATGTATGACTTTAACATATTTCCATGGAGACATGACTTAAGAAGACACTTGAAAATACTAACAATTAATTTTATATTTTAAACCAATTAATTTGAAGTTTTAGAAAAAACCAATTCTAAATTAAATATATTCTCGAAATTCTAAACGCGGTTGCTCTAAACCTCATAAAATGACATGTGTTCTTTTCAAAATCATTTCCTCGGCATGAGTACCCCAGAAAATGTCAAGTACTCGTTAAAATGAAGCAATAATGGGATGAAATGAGTTCAAGCAGCAAAATTATGAACACGCTTTTTTCCAAGATAGCCAATTTTTTATGTTATCATTTTTTTAATGTTATCTTTTTTAGACAGAATAACGAATTATTGCCTATTTTTTGGTTATTTTCTAATGGTAAGCATTTCGAATAAGAAATTGTAACGAATAATAATTAAAAAAAAACAAAAATGTGTATAGTATAAATTTCTAGTCACATGCTTCAAAATTGGCTCAAATTTAAGTACAAAAACAATTTTCGAGCCCAGTTTGTGAATATTTTCTTTTTTTCACAATGCATTGTTCGCGAAAATTCAATTTGGCTTGCGGTTTCTTTCACAAAACCCGCCAATCTCATCTAAAAGTCAATTGAAACCGATTTATACGAATGAGAATTTTTGCATTACAGCAGAATATTCATAACGTGGGCGAGATTTGCTCTATGGCCTTTTATTTATTAGACGAATCCCTTTCCAATTGATGAGAGCATTAGATTTAAATATATTTCGGGAAAAAATAACTAAATTGGGAGACTAAATTCTAAAAATTTTGCCAAAAAAATGAAACCAAAAATAATATATTGGAAATTAGTAAATATCATTTTAATATACGTTATAACAGTAGCATAATTTCGACTAAAGAAATATAAACCAACTAAACAAAAGCTTTCAAGCAAAAAATGGTATATTTGAAACAGTCAAGTGTTTATGAGTTTTACATTATCCATCTGCTTTTGGAGAATTTTTTATTATTTTTGTGAAATTACAGGTTTCTTTCGAAACATCTTAAAAACACCATTCTCCGAAAATACGATTGGAAAACAATGCGACTAAAAACAAAAATAGAAGAGAAAATGCTAATCCAATCGAATAACGGAACAATGCATTTTTGTGGCCTAACTTTTCTATGGCCGATAAAGCTAAAATATGTCAGTCCGCGTATTTTTTTGTGATTTCCGTATCACGCGATTTTTGGTTTTTAACGATTATCTTCCAAAAATGAGCATTTTATTTTCAGGCCATGCCTCTTGAAAGCAGTGGCCAAGATGGTGGGATATCACGAGATGAATTTCTACTAATTCAGCAACAACTCCTCGATCTTCGTCAGAAAAATTACGAGCTCCAAGAAGAACTGAGACGAAAAAATAATGATTTAGTGCAAACACAACAAAATTCACATCGTAATGAAGCATTGCAGTTCGCGAGCAAGGTTGACTATTATTTCTTTAAAATATTGAAGTGAGTTGAAATTATTATAGCTTATTCATCGAGCTTCGACTTCAAAAAAGGATGAATCTGAGATTGACAATTTGCGAAGAAAATTAGCAACTCAAGAGGAAGAATTTAAACTTCAACAGTCCACGCTTTTTGAAGAAATGAACAGAGTGAGGCAGAGAAAAACGAATTCATTTCATAATTTCACAATTTTATAGTTGTCATCGGAAAATGAGGAATTAAGAAATAGGCTTGAGTCTTTGACAGAGTCGCCCGATAAGTTTATATCGGAAAACGATGAGTTAAAAGAAAAACTCGTAAAAACTGAAGGTAATTTTTAAAATTATCTGAGTATAACAAAATTTCTTAATTTCAGAAAAACTGATACAAGTTGAAGCTGAACTAAAAACAATGAGAGAGAGAGCAGAAGCAAGCGAGAAATTAACAACTGGGCTTGAGGATATGATGCTTGATTATCAAAAAAAGTTTGGGACTGCTCAAAATGAAGCTTTCGAGATTGACTATTTAGATCAGAAGAGGCACAAACTCTTCTTGAATCAGCTATCAAACAAGCTTCTACTTCAGAAGAAGAATTGCGAAAAACAAAAGCTAAATTAGACGAGAAGCAAGATGTGTTAATAGCGGTGAGTCATCGAACGAGTTTTTAAAACATTCCGTTTTTTCAGAACACACAAAAAATTTCAAGTTTAAACGACGAAATAACGTATTTGTCTTTGAATTTAACGAATTCCGATGAGAAAAATGTCAAATTAGAACAAGAAATTGACGAATTAAAAGCTCAAATTGTTCAAAAATGTAATGAGAATGTAAGTTATTTCAATATATTTTTAAAAGTAATTTAAAATGTTTAAAATATAGAGCCAAAAGGACCATGAAATATTAAAGCTTCAACAAGAAGTCGAACAAATTAAAATAACTAAAGAGGTGATTTTGAAACACTTTAAGCATATTTCAATTGGAATATTGTTAAGAAAGTTGCGAATGAGTCAAAAGAAGGAGAAACAAACAAAATTGAGCTCGAACGTCAGATTCTTCTTCTCGAGACCAGATATCAATTAGTATTTTTATTCCACCATTTTTCCTAGGCGAAAGCGAGTTTTCTCAGGAGATTGATGATCTCAAAAAGGAATTTGAAAGCGAAAAGGAGAAACTCGTGCAGTCTGTCAATTTATTGGAAGAGAAGATTAAAAGCCACGAAGTCGAGAAGAAATTGGCGCTGAAAAAACAAGCGGCAGTCATGAAGGAGCTTCAGAAATCACTGAAAGAAGAGAAAAAACGAGCGGATTCGTATGAGAAAAAGAATGAGGAAAAATCTGGATGGCACGTTGTACAGGAATCCGATGGAAATAGCAGTCATGTAACTTTTATAAAAAATTTAAATATTCGAAAGTCATAGAATATCTATTGCGTTTTCTGTTGATCTATAGGAAAATGAGAACAAAATCTTATTTTTAATGTTATGCGCATTTCTAAATTTATATATTGCAGACGTTCGATGGAAATGAAAGTATTAGCTCTCTATCTGCAGTAGAATCGGAAAATGTCGAGTTGATTAATCGATTGGCTACACTTCAACGAATTCATTCAGAAAATGCTGATCGCGTAAATTTTTCATTTTCATTTTCATTATGTTGTTTCTTTTTTAGATACTTCAACTCGAATCAGAAAACAGTCGACTTCGAAGAGAAAATCTCGAAAAAGGCGAACTAATTGAACATTGGATCAAAGAAAAACCAATAGCGAACAGTACTCAGACAAGTTCTCCGAGGCCCACAGATACGACCGGATTCCGTCGATTATTGAACACGTTGGGACCGGATCAAGCTTCTCAGGACTTGAAAGAGATGAACAAAAAACTACAACGGCTGCTAGAAGAAACTTTGTCGAAGAACATCATTCTTCAAAGAGATATTCAAACTTTGCTAGAAAGAACCGAATCTTGAAATTGTTAGAGCAATGTACATTGTATGTATTCAATGTGTATAATATCCCATCATTCCCTACGCATTTTATTCACTTTGTGCATATTAATAAATATTTTCCAACGTTTTTTTTGCAAATTTGATTCAAAAATTTTGTGTTGATTTTCGCTTTTAATTATTTCGTATCTATTTTTCGTTTTTAATTACAATAGTTTAGAATGGATCTCGAAGCCCCTGGAGGATCTGATATTCCAAATCCGGATAGTACTAGCGAATCGAGTGTTGATGTTTCGCAGGTCTTTATTTTTAGATTCATTATTCATATCTTTCTAATTTTCAGATAGATTTACCAGAAAAGGATGATGAATCGTTATTAAATGATTCGGAAACAGCTGAAAATGTATTGGATCGACTTGCTCAACTACCGTATCAAGTATTCATACTTTCTGAAGCTGGAAGGCCTATCTTTGTCAAGTATTTTTTGCTATGAAGTTGCTTTAACAGAATAAATGTTTTCAGTAGCGGAAACGAAGAACCGTTGTGTGCTTTATTTGCTGTAATTGGCATTTTTGTTGAGCGTGTGAAGGCATTTGAAGACAGTCTAATATCGATTTCATGCGCTGACCGAACCATTCATTTTTTGCATAAACCACCGCTCGTATTTTGCATTGTTTCCAAATATGGAGAGAAACTCGATGAACAATTAGAGGTCTTGTATGAGCAGATTTTGTCTGTCTTATCGAGATCACAACTGGAAAGTGTTTACGAGAAAAAAGGATTTAATTATGATTTACGGAAATTATTACGAGGGACTGATCGGTAATTTGTTCCGAAATAAATCCTTTCTTCTTATCAATTTATTAAGGCTTATTGAATCTTCCATTGCGTCGTGGAGAGGATCTCCAATCACCTTTGTGGATTCGTCGATTTCGGCAGTTCCTATGAATCCATCGGATCGAGAGTTCTTATCAAATTCCATGGCTAATAGCCTCGGAACTGCAAAATTAGATGTAAGCAATGTTTGAAAGTCGAATAATTTAAATGAAAGAATACCGAATTGACGTACTTTAATAATTTTCCAATATTTATCAACATTTTTCGGTAACAAATATAGTGTAGATTTTAGCTTTTTGAAAATTGCGATTAAAGAATTTAATTTAAAAAAAAATTCTTTTAAAAATTTTGTTTTCACGAAATTCCTTTAGGGTGCATTATTTGGAATAATGATTGCTCATCGTCAAATCGCTTCATATGTTCGCTTTAAGGTATTTCATCTTCTTCTAGTTATATTTTTATTTTTCCGTAATTAAAGAAATATATAATGCATCCTCGAGATATGAATATCGTAATAAATTTGGTGTCCGATAAATCGTTACAAATCGCCGACGCGCAAACTTGGACACCTATTTGCTTACCTCGTTTTAATGACACGTGAGAAATACCTTAATTCTTAATTGTTTAATAATTTCAATAATTATAGAGGATTCTTTTATGCTTTCATTTCATATCCATGGCAGTCCGATGGTATTCCGGCTTGTTTAGTATTGTTGTCAGTTAGACGGGACCATTTCGATGCTTTAAATGAGGTGAAGCAAAATATTGTGGCAAAACTTGAAGGAAATTCGAAATTCTTCGCCAACTTCTCAGAAGCTGTAAAGAAACCAAATTTGTTTAATATCTCACAGGTATCTTTTTGGCATTTGAATTGAATTTATTTTTTATTCTTCAAAGATTGGTTCAAATAATGAGTCATTATGGGCATTTACTTATCTTAATCATACTTCGAAACAAGTTTGTATATCGGCATCAAGGTATAAAAAAGAAAACACAACTATTCGAAATAAATGTAGTTTCAGGCCTCCATTAATATCACGAGAAGAGCGTTGGATAGCCAGATGTGATATGCGAAAAGGAGCCGCCACATATACCAAACATCCACATTTACGTACCCTTTTTGTCAGAGGAAGTCGCCATTGCCTATTTGTATGGGTATGTTTGTTTGAGCATTGAATCTGTGAAATGTCGCGAGCAATTATTGCTTGAATTGTACATTTTTTGTCAAAACTACTTTTATAAAAATAAATTGAAAATCATTCAAGAGGGCACCAATTGAATAGAATTATTTTGCAGGTAACTGACATGTTTTCTCTTCATTGCATATTCGGACCATTTGTAACGGCTGCAACTGCATTCCAAATAGTCAAAAAACTTCTTGACACTCTCAAAAGTCACGAACAGAGATATTTTATAATCAAAACTGCCTCATTTTGATGCGAGTCCAAATGTTAACACAATTTTTCTCACTACAACATTGTATATAACCATTTTTGTTAGATTTCTAAAAATAAATACTTAAATTATTCTTGATTTAACTTCCGCCTGACACTTTTTTTGGAAAGCATGTGTCAACTCCAGTTATGCTTGCAACTCCCACCTTCGCCGCCGAGATTCGCTAATTAGTTGCTCTTTTGTTTCGGGAATTCATGGTAAACTCGATATCGCTCGGCTGCTCATTCTGACGTTATGTGACGAAACCCGTTAACCACGCCCACTTTGAGTATTTAAAGAAAGCACGCGTGCTGTCGAGATTTTTCAACATTTCAAATCCGCTCAGCAAATCGTGCCACAGAATCGACGGTAAAACGTGTATTTAAGAGAGCGTGTGATTTTGAGAGACGGAGACATATCTTTTCACCGAAAATTGCATTTATTTCACCGTTTTTATGGCACGATTTTCTGATTATTTCCAACATTCTTTTTATTTTCAATTTTTTAGGTAATGTTGCGCATCAACTTCGCTTCCATTTGCTTCGTTTTGCTTTTTGCAACGATCGCCGCTCTTCCATTCTTCAATTCTCCCAACGTTAGTTTCACTCGATTATAATAGTTGTTATTTACTCAAATAATAATTATCGTTCTCTCATGTTTTGCACAAAAATAAATGCAATCGAGTATGTAGGCAAAAATAAATCCAAAACACAATAGATTGACGAATTCCTTAACTGAACAGAAATATTTTCGAACAAAATTCGGAATTTTACAATTTATTTAATTTGGTTTAATGTTGGAAAATGGAATACGCGATGAGTTGAAGACTGCGCAAAATTTTTGAAGGAAAATATTTTCGAGCAGGAATATATAGTGATTAAATTAAAGCTATACTAATTTTTAATTTAATGTACTCCCATAGCAAAAAAGACGAGAAACTTAAAAAATTGTGGACCATAGACCATCGATTTTTTCTGAGGCGGTAATTCAAATTTGAATTTAAACAGCGAGAATACGGATACCGCACTACGGTGAATAAAAATCGCCATAATCTACACAAGGTGCTCCTTTTTTGTGATTCCAATATTGTGGAAAAATGAGGAATGTGAAAAACTTCAGCGATATCCTATGCATTGTGTGCGTACACCGAGTCGAACATCTCGCTACAGTAACCTTAACTGAAAATTATTTAATCAATTATTTTAAAAAATTTCTTCCGTGTTTTCATGGTGAATTTATGGTTTATGTATAGTTTCGTGTTGAAAAAGTGTAATAGTTTGTATATTCAAAGATAATTGTTTTATATAAAAAGAAACGATCAATAATTGATTAAATAATTTTCAGTTAAGGTTACTGTAGCGAGGTGTTCGACTCGGTGTACGCACACAATGCATAGGATATCGCTGAAGTTTTTCACATTCGTCATTTTTTCCACAATAGATTATTTAATTGAATTGTATCGATTCATTTTAGCTTGATAAGATTTTAGAATCAATATTTGGGTAGTTGTTCAGATATCTTCGAAAGTCTTTGTTGTCCTAAGAGTTTACCTCATACTTTGTAAAATCCCGAAGAAATATGAAAAGAAACATTTCTTGAAAATTTTCTGTGAGCTGCGAAGATCAAAAAACTGCGATTCATTCGCTTCAACAATTTTGTTCCTTTTTTAGAACCCGTCTCGCGGAGAGCAATACCAACAATTCTATTACTCGGACTTCCAGCCGGAAACTCCTGAAAACGCGCGCTATGTCTTGTCAAGTCGGCTGAGGGGATAACAAATATTGCATTGATGTTCGAATATTCCCTAACAAGAAGAATAAATGTTTATGTCAGTTTGACCAGTTGTTTTTGTCTGACTCTTTTTCATCTCTGGTTTCTGCGATGACCTTGTCCAAATGGTCAGTTGGCGAAGATCGCCGCATAGTCTTCTCAGCACAAAAGCTATGAACCACGGTTATATTCAGATTGTTCTCATATATTTAATATGGTGAGTGTAGCAATTTTGTCCAAAAATAATTGTTTTGAATTTTTTCGATATATTGCATTCGTTTGCATTCACATATTGTTGATTTCAAATGAATGATCGATTTTGCGAATTCAGTATTGTTGATCTACGAACTTGTAAATGTACGCTCGCATCAGACTATATTAAATGCGCGTACACTAAAATGTAGAATACGCAGTAGTTTTCTTTACCGAAACCGTGAATTAACGCGAGCCGCAACGCGTCTGGCGACATTGAATAATTACAGTAGCCGTTTTCCTTTTTATTTGGAAACCGATTATAGCCAATATTTATTTTATATAAACCTGTTGTTAAAAAAAACGACGACAGAAATGTGAAAAAAATCATTTGAAAGGAGCATATAATTTTTCGTTTTTTTTTCATATCATTAATACTGAATCTCAACCATTCACGAACATTGATTCATGACTAAAATAAAATTTTGCGAGGTGTTTGAATCGTGGTTATGCGAAATGACGATTCTCGAGAGAACTTTTCGCTTCTTTGAAAGAAAGAAGCGAGAATGTGTTTGAGAAAAGAAAAGATTCGTCATTCAAAAAAAATCCAAGAAAGTTTACAAATTTTCAACATTGCATTTATGCATCGGTAAACTTTTACAAAACAAGAAGGTACTCTCAAATTTTCAGTGCTGTTCTAGGAAAAGGTGACGATGAGCTGAAGCATCACAACACAATTTACGCATTTTCTGCAAACACAGCGGATGGAAAACTGGTTACAATGGAGAAATATAGGTTCAGGTTCTCCCATTTAACGCAAATATTTTCTATTTTAGGGGTCATGTTGTAATTTTTGTAAATGTTGCTTCATATTGCGGTTATACTGAATCAAATTATGAAGAATTAAAGAAATTGCAAAATCGGTATTATGAGAAAGGTTTGAGAGTGGCGGCATTTCCGTGCAATCAATTCGGGCAGCAGGAACCTGATGAGGTTTCGCGGATTAAAAGTTTTGTGAATAATATTTATGATTTTGAACCAGACCTTTATGAAAAAGTAAGTTTCCTGTAACTGTAAATGGTTTTAAACTTGTGAAATACTTTTTTTTAGATTGATGTGAATGGCCCGAATGCTCATCCACTATGGAAGTTTTTGAAGGCAGAACGAGGCTCGGCTGTTAGTGAAGATATTCCATGGAACTTCTCCAAATTCCTTGTTGATAAGAACGGACATGTTGTTGGGAGGTGATTTGTTTTTCGACATGTTTCATAATTATTGGAAATATGGCTAAAAGAAATGCGTATATTTATCCGATAATGGAAAATTTGCATTACGTAAAATAGGAAAATATTAAAAAAAAATTAAGACAGAAAAAAAAAACAAAAAAGAAAAAAACCGACCAGCAAATGCGCTCTACATATTGCGCGTTCTATTCCGGTCAGTTTGAGCAAGTGTGCGACATGCCTGTCTCAAATAACACCGCGTGGCTCGGAATGACGCGATGGATTCACAAAATTTTTACGAACGATTTGTAGGCAATCTAGAGATCATATTGTCGAAGTCGCGCGACTGCGGATAGCGCGGCATACTGTAGAGTTGGGTCTCGCAACACGAGAATCGATTTACGCGCGGGGTTATTTACGTCACGCCTTAAGAGGGTTGATTGTCTGTCTGGACTACACGACGCTCGTCTCGTCGTCTCGAGACCATTTCTGGCATTTCGCCAAATTGGTGCAACCGCGCCATTTCGACGACAATAGCTGCTGATAAAAAGCGTGTGAATGAAAATTGAAAATTGGGTGGGCGTCATGACGCAATGCGGAGCAACATGCAATACCCACGGGAAGCGTTCCCGTAATAATCCCGTGTTATTCGAAAATTCATTCACAACATGCCATTCTCCTCGCATTCTGCGAAAGTCATGGGAAAAAGTAGTCTGTTTCCCAAAAAAAAAAATAAAAAAACGTAAACCGCAACGCGTCTGAACTGCAAGGTCTCGCAGCGAAATATTCAGGCAGGCACATTTATTGAGAAACCCTCTATATTTGAGGTTGTCGATTTTCGAAAATATTTTGGAAGTCCGTCGGTTCAGTCAGTAGCGAGGCGATCAAGAACGGAAACAATGAATTCCAGTAGACTCTTCGATTTTATCTTAGTGATTTTCGATATTTCAGATATTCGCATGCCGTCAGTCCGATGTCCTTCGAAAAAGAAATCATTCAACTACTAGAATAAATGCATAATTTATCCAAAAATAAAAAAAAATAAAGCAAATTCAAAAAATACCACCGTTAGTATGTCTTTTTTTGGGAGATGAGGAACAAGAAAATATACAAAAGAGAAGGCGACGAACGCAAAAGGTCGGATTACAGGAATAAATTATTAATAAAACGTTAGTAAAATTATGGGATAGCGGGGGAAAACTAGGGAATATTACTTCAATGTGTTATTAATGATTAAATATTATTAGATAACCAGAACATCCAACAAAAAAGAGCAAAATCGCAAGAAACGACAAAGAGCAACAATAACCCGATTAACAAACAAAAATTATCAAAATATTAACCCGCCGCTCAGGAAATATCGAAATTTAATGAAGTCTCGGATAGGAACGACACTGGTGCATTTCCAGCGTTTTATAGGAGAATGAGAGGCCGGTCGAATAGACGACTCCATCATCTCGGACCAAAGAGACGGGAACCTAAAAGCTATTCATTAACCTTGATTCAAATTCAGCCATATAAAAACCTCAACATCGTTGGTGCCGTTATCAAAAAGCCATGCGGTTTGGTCTGTCTTGACTGCAGATGCTGGTGGAATTGTGCACATTAGATTTTCTTCGGAGCGGAAAAGTGTATCAACCGACGTCGCACCGAACCAAATTTTCAGATTTGGTTTGAAATCACGCCCATGAAGCTCCACCCGAGCAGTTCCTTCGTTTCCACCATCCAATTCTAAAGATGTGACAGTCGGACACGGCGAAATAGGCGTTGCCACTGGACCCATAGCCTCGTAGAATCGATACTCAGCCTTATCGGTCGAAATGATGGTCCACGCAGCTCCATCGTTTATCTGATGGCGATTCGCATCAATGACTTGCGCCTAAATTGCTGAATAAATAAAATGATTTTTTTGGAAATATTTGCCTGATGCTGAATAATCTTGTCATGACTTAAACACAAGTATACTGTTTCACAGTCAATCATCTGAAAGGCGCATTTGTGAAGCTGCGAGACAGGCTCCTCGCTCACGGAGGCGTCAAGAATCACTTGTTGTTTGTCAACCTGAACAAAATTTTAATAATGCCGCACAAGAGCAATATACAGACCTTGCGGATTCGCAATCGAGGAAGAGCGATTCCTGTCACACTGTCCACGAGTTTCACAACACTTCCGTAATAAACGAATCCGTCTTTCACGGCAAAATTTTCCGACTCGTGAGAATTTCTCTCATCATCAACTGGAAAACATCGTTATATAACAAAAAAAAATTGTACGAGGTGATTTGGGCTCGCAAAAATTTAAAATTAAGCTGCGTATCAAATATAAGCAAAACTACAGTACACATCTAACAAGTCACATGAAAAAATTTTAATTTCGCGCAAAGAAATATCGGCAGTATTGTAGGTTAATATTACAGTAGAAATTATATCAATTACAGACAATAGAGTTGAACATATTCGAATTTTTGTTTAAAAAATAGCTTACACAAATGTATGGTGAATGCTCCCCATTTCGTCGAACTCGCGTGGAACGCGTTGCCTTCGACATGCAAATATCGCGTGCTGACAGTCTGTGAGCGCAGACGGTTGAACAATGCGACCTTTGTGCCGGACGCAATGCACAAGTACTTGCAGTCGGTGTTTTTCATGCTCTGCTTCTTCTTCGAAGGTTTGCTGATCACTTTGATGCGCTGTGATACGAATTGACCAATCTCCATGCCGCATCCGTAGAAGAATTGAGCATTCAGCTCAAAATATTTGCGTTTGTCACTGTCGCTAATGTACAGTGTTTTGGCAGCACAGTAATCCTGCAGAGCATCGCAAAATAAAAGAAAACCGGCATTCGGTACTCACATATATGTTAGGATCTTGTCGCTGGTCTCCAGGATGCCGAACCTTCGACGACGAGAAGTCAAGTTGTTGCCGCTCTTGTTCGGACGAGCCAATTCCTATATAAGCGACGAGTTCAGTCGCTTGTTGATCTTGAATTTGTTCTTGCTCAGGAGGGAGTTCGGGACCGCCTTGCTGTTTTTGTTGCGTCTTCGCCGCCTTATAAAGCTGCATTAGGTTTTCCTTCTTGTTCTGCCATCCCTTTCCAAGAAGATATATACACGGGGGTGGGCAGAAGAACCTGTATGAAAATACTTTTTTTGAAACTCTAACATGGAATCCCTTTTCATTTTTAAAGAAAAAATCACGCATATTGTAGTGCGTGAAATTGTTTTTCATTTATATAAAGAGCAAGTCAACTTAACGTTAAAAAAACAACAACTGCATTATGTCCATCATTTTACTCAATAATATTTATTATCATCTTTTATATATTTCCTGGTCTTCCTTCACACGATATTCTAATTTGGCAATTTTCAATCAAAGAAATTCCCAAATTCTACGAGTTATCTTTAACAGTAATGAATCACCAATTGTGAGATTGTTTGATTCCTCGTTGACGACAACACTAAGAAATGAAAAAAAAAAGAAATGTATTCGGTTTTCTTCATCAAACAGCCACGACCGTGGGAATTTCTACCGTAGTCAACGACGCAAAACCACCGCTTTCATCACCATAATCACATATTGTATCATTATGCGCATAATGAGAAATGCTAATGTTTTTTTTTAGTAATACGGTAGTTGGTGCAAGCACGAAAGACAAGGGCACAGCCAAATTAGGGCACACATTCTCAGCTTACATCATCCTAATCTGGTGCATATGTTTCGCGCATTCTTCATTCGTACGTAACACAATATTTAATGCAGCACAAGTGTGCAAACAGTATTTATGAGCTTAGATGCAATTAGACAAATCCAGGCTGGTCCCAACAAAACATCGTCTAAAGTGCTAATTGATGGCCAGTTGTATTGCGCGAGTTTCAAGTGGAAGCATATGCGAACCGACACCGTAATGGACTATTACCAATAAAAGAAGTGCTCATCTCATTTTGAACAATTACAATGACACAGGGAAAACCACTTAACCAAAAAATCTGATTATTTTCAAGAATTGCAAAAATGTACGTTAAAATATCAATATTTGAGATATCATCGCAAAGTTCCCTACTTTGTGAAATAAGAAAATTTCTCAGAAGCTATGATAGAAAATCTTAAAAGAATGTGTGTTTGTCATTCTACCGTAACCCCAGCGACAAATTAGGACACCTGCGCAGCAGCGGCGCTTCATTTTCTTGCAAGTGTATCAATTATGAGCAAATATTGCGCAGACAGCTGCTCATTACATACCGTTTCTCGTTGCCATACGACTTTTGGGCGACTTTCGCGTGGAATATCGAGATCACACAATCATACTCATCTTGTTTCGACAAGTACTCCATCATCCTTTCACTAAAAACAAAATGATTGCAAACCGATAGAAATTTTCAGAATACATACGTTGTCAATTGTTTCGATGTTTGCGCAATCAGATTATGTAGGCTGTTCCTTGTTTGGTAAGCGAGTGGAGGATAAGAGGAACCACCGCTGGTAACAGCGAAGTTCGTCGCAGCACTTGTGTCGAGGAATGAGGAAGATGATGGTGTCGATTGGGCAACAGAATAGTATTGATCCGCTGAAATTACGATCTCAACACTCTAGAACAGAAATTCAAATTTTGTTAATTGTAGTAATCTCGAATTTTATTTCCACACGGCTGGGACTCAATTTTTTTAGGCCGATTCCTGTGAAGGAATTTTTAGACTTATCTTCTTTAAACCCCAAATACTAGTACAACTCTGTATTGCTAACTCTGTATTGCTGATGCTAGTCAAAAGTTTCGGAATTTAAAATGAATGAAAATAATTGATCTGAAAAAGCGCGAATTTTCTAATCAAAAGAATCTGAGGATTGAGCAAAATATCTCTTATGAATAAAGTATGAAGAATATGGGAAGCGAGAAAAAAGCAAAGAAGCAGAACTTTAAAAAAATAATAAAAAAAAATACCGTTTGCCTGAACGAACGACATACCAAAATTGGGTTGGCTATAAAGAAAATTCGGCGAGGCGGCTGTCACAACATTGGAAAACCCCGCATAGTTCATGGGCATCGTCCAGCTCTCATGGAGCATCGGCTGTTGAGTATTGGATAGCATGAAGTTCTGCTGAGGCTGTTGTTGCTGCGATTGCTGTTGTTCGGCTTGCTGTTGCTGTAGTGCCGGCGGCGACGAGTAGTAATAGTTGGGATTCTGATAACACATCGCGGCTAGCTGGTGGCTGTCGTAGGTGCTACCGACGACGTCGGTCAATGTTCTCGTTAGCGTATCATCACAGTAGACGAGACTCTTGTCGGTATCGGGAACCGTGCCCGCTTGGGCGGCGGCGACTGCGGCGGCGGCGGCTGCTGCTGAAGCCGCCGACTGATGATAATCCATGGCAAAAGTGGGAAGAAGAAGGAATAGAAGAGGCAAAAGAAGAGGTGGTGCGCAAAGCGATGGGAGCACCGACGGGGACGTGGGACAAGAAAAATCTCGGTGGGATATCGTATGTGAAGATTCTCACGGATGGGTCGTCGTCGAACCACGACCAAGTAGAATTGTGAGTGTGTGGCAGCGGTTTTGAGGCTGTCGCCACACAATATGAGCGTGTGAAAAAATCAGCAGTCAGCACACAGACACACAGTCGAACCCTTCAGCTTCACGCCCTCCCTTATTTGAGCATACACTACTCGACTAGACCCCTGTCTGCGTCTCCGGTTCAGCTCAAGATTATGGTGGAAGGCGGATGTGGGCGGAGTTTCGGCAACCAATCGCCGTCGCGCGGTGTGTTCGACGCTTTTACCGAACAAATGCAGATGACTAATCCAATTAGGGAAATATTGAAATTGTGCATCCTGGCGAGTATTATCCTCCGCCAGTCAATTAGCGAGTTTGCCGACAGCGAGATCCTCTTTGACTGTTCAATTTAGGCGAGTTCGCCGAGAATCACACGAAAATTAAGCGAACGGTGCAAAAATTGGGGTAATTCGCTTATTCAAATCATTTTCGATACATAAATTACACAAAAAGGGAGTCAAAGCTGATGAAAATTTTGAGATTTGAACGTATCAAAACTAGATTCCCAAAGTTTGACAAAAAGTAGAAAATAATTTGTGAAGCAAACAAACAAATATTCATTTTAACAAGTATTGTTAACATTTTTTAAAATTCTATAAGTACTAATGGGTAATAGAAAATAAAAAATATCTGAAAGTATTTGCTTCTTTAAAACCTCCACTTCTCACAGCTTCTTATAACTTCGGCTTCCCACTTTCTAAATTCAATACATGATATATTTGTTCTCATTTCCGCAATCGACTGGTGTTCGGCTCTTTTCAAGAGATTCATGTCAACACATTTAGTGTTTATCCATCTAATCTCGCTCATTCACAAGATGCGCCAAGAGTTCTGGGCAAGTGATCAAAGTAAACACGAATGAGAAGACTGACGTCTGAGTGCCTCTGATAGCTGCTGATCGAATTTAACTGCTCGCTCACACTCACCATACAATCAATCAATACGGTATTCAGGACGTCAAAACCCATAACGCGCACAACATAAACCGTGGGATTTTGCTCCAAGTTCACACAGGTTATGAGGCGGCGGTACATGCGAAAGCCTGCAATCCCATCCCATTCCATTGCATTCCATTGTTCCAATCAGCCCATTAAGTCTCAAATGCGATTTTTTGCTGGGAACGTCGCGCCGCGCACCGCAATCCACACAAAATAGTTGCATTGTATACGTTTCGCAACTTCACAGCGAGTGCCGATACGAGAGTGGCGATGGCGACGACGACGACGATGAGGCGCTAGTCGCACGTCGCATCGATTCACGTGGGAATGTGGCACGGGCCTGCGGCTGCGGTGGTGGCACACACGGCCCACAGAATTTCAACCAAACAAAATAAGACAATGACGAACGAGAAAAGGGGACAAAATAAGTGTGCGGGTTTCGAATTCTCGAGTGATTCTTCAGAATTTATTAATCCTGCTAAAATCAATGATTCTAGGCAATAGGCAAACATTTTAAAATTTGCAAAGTCAAAACATTTTCGATACCCAGAAAAAAAAAATCAACGAAAACTTGTAAAATAATTATAAAGATGTTTCAATAATTATTTTTTCAAAATTTTCTTTGGCTTTTGAGAAATATTCACGTAATTCTACTATATACGGATAATAAACTTTTATCAATTAATCTCAATTTTTTCACATTCCCTACTTTCCTCGAAAATTCAGAAAAAAAATAATATCTACAGTATATTTTTTATTATTCTATTTTTATGATTTGAATATCGTTAAAAATACATTTCTAAAGTCGATCATAAAATGTATGATTCGAATATTCAAATGAAGATAAGCGTAAACTGAAAATACAGGGATATGAAAATAAAATCGAAAATGTTTATCCCAATTATAAAATTGAAGAAATGACTGTTTAAATAAAATATTTTATCAAGTTTTAAAGAAAACTAATATTTAAATAATAACAGTTCAAAGGTCTTGGTAATTTGTCATTTATCTCGAATAATTGTAATATATAATAAAACTTTAGTTTGTAATTTATTTTCAATTCTGGGCAATACAGTCGAGAATGAAAAGTTCTGGAGATTTTTTTTTATTTTCGGGCGATTTTTCGTCTTCGTCATTCTCATTAATCGCCTTTTTTCGCAAATATTAAATTGTGTACAATTTCGGTCAATGTTTAAAAAAATGGATGAATTTCCCAATAATTTATATGACACGAACGGTTTGCGCTGGGTCGATTTTGAAATTTTTGGAATGTTCAAAGTTGAAAATAAAAACCTAGAATTATTTGAAAAATGGTATAATTTCGTTATAATAGGTTAAATTGGTAGTAGTTTTTCAATGTCACTCGACCAATTTCTCAGATACCATTATGAAAGTTGGTACACATGTGTATTTTTTAGCCCTGAATTCAGTTTTGAAAACAGAATTTGAAAATTTTCACAATTAACAAAGTTACACCCAAAAACAAGGGTGGCTTTATAAATGTGAAACGCACTGTATAGTTTCTATGAAAACACGAAATGATGCAAGTGTCAGTTGAATTTTTTGTTCACATCCAATCAAACAAATTCGATATAATATGGAACGAGAAGGGGATTGCTAAGCCCCTCAACAGAACAGGTGATTTTGCAAACGAATTCTCTCCAAATCACAATTTTGGGACATTTCCCAAGGCGATACGAAAAAAAAACGGAAGTCGACAATAAAATGATTGATCGAATCGGATATTGATAAATATCGATAAAAATCAAAATGAAATCCTATTAATCTTGAGGGGGTCAAAATTTCGATTGTTTTCGACATTTTAAAATAGAAAACAGAAATATCTATAAAACGTTGTTTTCGCACTAAAATTAATTTTAGTCAATTTAAACGGACCATGCAATTCTAATTATGAAGCTTGTGTAAATGAATCATCAGATTTCAGGACGAAATGCCTAGGAAAATAGTTCCATATAACCCAATAATATATAAATTACCACAAAGGAGTCCCAAAAATCAAGCAGTTTCAAAAGAAAACAAACGTACTTCTTTTTGGTGATTTCAAATCCAAATTTTGATTTGGCGTTGATGTAGCTGCTACAATTGGGGAAGGAGACAATTTGATCTGAACAATATTAAAAATCGAGAATTTTGACACATGAGAGCAAGAAACAAACTCGTTTGGCCGATGGAGGTGAATCGGATGTGCTGGGTTCTTTCTAAAATCGGCAAAAACAAAAATTCAGAATATGCAACAAAAAAAAACTCACATCTTCGTCCGAATCTTTTGCGGCTTCCACTGTTCTTAGTACATTATTATCCGTTTTAAAATCCATTAACGGATGAGCGCACATTTGCTGGAGACTCAAAAACGCATGAATCTGTAACGTGAACATTTCTAATGTGAAAAAAACGAAAAATTGTTGATTTTATAGAGAAAACCAGATACAGGTGATTTTGAAATGACGCTAGAGGAAAAAAATTAAGTGCAACACAAACCCAAACAGTGTTATGACAATTTGCCGTCATTTCTAATTTTTGAATTTTCGTCATTTTCTTATTCCATGATGACGCCTACACAAATTGAACGTATAAATAAATAAATACGGTGTTGTTTATGACAAAAGTTGTACGAACATAATTGAATTACTGATGTTCGAAGAAGAAACTTGTTTCGCACAAACGTATCTCAAATTATCTGACATAAATAAAGATTGCAACAATAAAATTTCGTTGAAATTATAAAAAAATAATAATTTTAGACTAAAAAATAACTTTTTCGAAAAATGTATTTAAATTTCCAGTTTGCCTATTGGTGAACATGCGAACATTAGAAAAATTGTGGTTCCGCCATCAGTATCAGTCACCACAAGACCAATTAATTTATTTATTTCGATTTCACAATAGAAATGAGTTTACTCACAGTTTTCATTGGAAATTTATCCGAAGATAACCGAACATTAACAAAAGAAATTGTCAAATTGAAAAGAAAAACCCTAAAATCAGTGGTTTAAAAAAATTAAAGACTTTCAATTCGAAAATATTGTTGGATACAGTAATGAAAGGCGTAAACTATTTTGCGCTGAGTCTCGCAGCGCAAAATGATTTTGGTAGCCACATTTTCCGAAACTATTGGCGAAAAAAATCAATTTTAAAGTTAGAAAAAACAGTTGAAATTGAAAATTTTTGTTTGAAAAAGAATAAATAATTAAAATGGCAAACCTGTTGTTGTAGAGCAAGATGAGTGTCGTTCTGTCCGACGACCATCGCCGGTAGCGTCGATGCCGTCGCTTGCCACATGTTCATCATCCGTCCGCCGTTGTATTGTGTTCCCAAGAACCAATAAGCGTCTGAAAATTCGCTGGGGTGGTTCATCGTCGTCCGAATGAGGAAGAGGCGAATAAACGATGAAGGTGTGATTGCACATAAAATACGTGGCGACAAAAGCAACCGTTAAACGTTTTATGTGAGTTGTCGGACGAATAAAATTTATGCGATTTATTTCATTCATTTTCGTTGTACAAAAATGAATAAGGATCAAATGCAACAAAATAGAATCGTCACATTCAAGAGAGGCGGAGTATCGGTGGCAAACGGATAAAAAGATGGGAAGAGAGCATTTGAACGATAAAGTTACAGTAAACAATGGATAGAAAAGTTTGGAATTGAAAAATAATTCTAATCAGGTTCACTTCTCGTTATCATCAAGAAATCATATAACAATCTTCATATTTGACTATTTCTATCCGTTTTCGAAAACTAAATAAATTCCTGAATATAAAGCAAAAACACATTGCTAATTGGTGTATGTTAAGAAGAGAAGTCGCTGTTGGTTGAAGTTTGACATTTAAACAAAACAAACTGTTTTTGTCTCATAAATCGACACATTGCGATAATCGAAGATTTAGCCAAAACATTGACGTCTGATTTGTAACAATTTTTTCGCAATTAGCGATGTTCGATAAGGATTTTGAACAACACTTGAATGACTTCTAATAAGGAAATCACTAGGAACTGATAATTTAACGAGAAGTTTGAAGATTAGCAAATTTAGCATTAAATACAAGTTCTCTCATAAAGAAATTAATTGATTGGTATTTTTGACGGACAACGCATCAATCGCACATACAGATAACCAAAATCCGATTAATTTCACAAAAAGCGGTATAAAAATTGAGCGAAATCAATAATGACGGGATTCTTCGAAGACGAAGACGGCGCATGCATGAATATCGTTGGTAATCGTTTTCGCATTGGAATAACAGCAACACTTTCGCACTCGATGATCATCACCGGCATCGCACTACCAAAAAATCGCGTCGAATTTCAATATTCAATTTCACCACACTTTTGGAAAATAAATTGAAAATCCGGTATAAAAAGGTGTTATATAAACAAGAATGACTAACTTCTGCTTCTTCTTATCGTATTAAGAAACATGAACAAATTTTGAAAAAAAAAACGGCATTTTGTAACATGCTGTCGTTCAAAATGGGCGAAAAAACTGCATGAAAATCTCAAGCGTTTTCGGCGATCAATTTTCTGTAAAAGCGCAAGGTTTTTCGCAAAAAACACACAAAATGTTCGCTTACAATTTTTTTACTATTAAGAAAACGTATCGTCTAATGAATTGTAACAAAATGAGCGGTCACGCAGTCACTCGAAAATGTGTTTTCAAAGTAATTTTTTGTCTTAAAAATCATGGAATTTTTCAAAAACGGTGGATATTGTGGCAATTCTTCTCTGCTTCTGGTAGCAGTTTTTCCAGAAAGAAAGAACAAGGCACTTCAGAAGTAAGTGAAATTTGTGCAAAATTGCGTATGTGTGTAAACAGACAAAAGCGGAACCCGTACATTAGATTTTTTTTCTTCTTCGAATTTCAATTTTTATTACCAATTAATTTTTTTATAAAAAGGTAATCTATGCAATTGAAACGGTTTTTTTAATATTAAGTATTGCCTTATATTAATACTCTCTTTTTAAAATAAAGTATTACCTTACAAAATACTTTTCTTAAATATGTCATAGATAAACCAACAACTCACAAACAAAATTCAAAAAGACAATAGAGAAGGGGTTAACGAAAAAAGTGTGCGTCTTCGCCCGTCCGGTCACATCTGGCCTGGTGCCAATTCCAAGACACTTTCAAAATTATCTCATAGTTAAGAACTTTGGCATCTTTGATGAACGAAAACCGGCGAGTTTCACACCATTTTCGAAACGCGTTCATTTTGCCAAAAAAAAACGTGGGGGGAATCCCCCACAAACAAAAAGTATGAGTGTCTGTGCGTGCGTGTGTATTTTAGTTGTTTGTAATCACAAAAAAAAGCGCAAGTGGAAATGGAACGAATGCGAACGTTGGTGGCTGAACAACAATGTTCGTTCGATAAGCACGTGTTAGGTGTGATCTGGTATACAAATGTCATCGAAGGTGCGAAAACAAAATGGTTTTATAATATTTAAAAATAAAACGAGAACAATTTGGGGAGCTTTCTCCTAATTTGTGAACAACCATAATTGCAATTTGTTCCTTTAAGAAAGAAATAAAAAAAACAAAAACAAAAGTTTTACTCATAGGGGAGACCTTCTATTGTGAAAGAACAGCGGCCAAAAAACTTTTCGAGTTTTCGCAATTTGTTTTTTTTAAATAGTTTTTTTTCTAATAGGAGTTTTTAATTCCTAAGTTGAGAATTGTGTTTCTTTTAAGTTTTGTTGGCCTTAAAACGATCGATGTCTACGAGGTCAATGCATTTTTTCTCATGACAGTCTATTTTCTTTTATTGGTTCATGGTACTCTTGCAGTGCTAAATATGATATCCCGCTGTGCGCAAATGTGTTGTGTTTTTAATTTGAAATATATGTATGCACTTGGGTTCTATTTTGAAACCAAAATATTTAAAATTCAATTTGCGCGTATATGTTATGGCTTCAAAATGATCACACGATTAGTCGAAAAAAAAAAGGCGACGATTAATTTAGGATTCACGAATCACGTCAAAGTGTATTTGAACGAGGAGAATAGCGAAAAGATTGCAGTCTAGTCAGACATTTAAGAGATTATGCAGATTTTGAGAAGAGATGTGGTATGTTGCAATTAAATTAAAACAAAAAATAAATAAATATACAGAAAAAGAAAAGGAGGCATATATATATATATATATATATATATATATATGGAGAAATATTAAAGAGAATAAGAATGTCGTATTCCAAGATTCTGTTCTTTTTTTTTTCGTTTTTGAAGACTTTGAAATTATTGCGTATTTTTGAAAATCTCACAATGTTTCTTTAATCAAAAATTCCTAGTGAATGAATGAATGAGACTTTCAATGTTCCCTGGGAATTCCCCCCCCAATCTTCTACTTCCTCTCTAGTTTTTTTTTTGAAAGAAAGAACAATAATTTATTTTGGGAGAGAGAGTGTGAGAGAGCAAGGAACGGATATAAATCTTGTTCGGTCTTGCGAGATAACACGACGATATTGTAAAAAAAAAAACAAAAAAGAAACAGAAAGCAGATGTGAATTGCCGCGAAAACGAAAAAGTGCAAATTGGAAAAGTGGAAATTTCCGGTAAACGTATTCAAAAGTTACCGTATCAAATTCACATGGTGAAAATGAGGCAAAATTGGGAAGTGAGCGAATTTTGTTGATATTTCGATGGTGAATGTATGGTAATCGAGGGAACGCTGAATGGTTTGTGATGGTCGTTTTGCAGCAGCCGACGCAGCACAGCAGGAGAATGGAGGACACTTTTTTCTCACACACACACACACATTGGGGTGGATGTATGTATGTGTGAGTGTATGTGGGAAAACGAGCGTGGGAAACTGACGAGACATCGCGGAGAACGCGGAAACCCGTCAGACATTTGCCTCCCTCCTTTTTCCCACCCCAACATCGGCCGGTCGGTTGGTCGGTCGGTCGGTCGGTCGCACCAACGATAAATGCTGACGCGATTTGGGCGGGTGACGGGCGGAGCGCGCCAATTTCGGAGACGCAGCGCCTTGCATTCATTGGTCTGGGAAAATCGGCGAACTCCCATCTCCCATACTATCAAGATGCCATTTTCACACGACTTTTCACGACGCTGGGAATCATTCCAGACATATGGTCGACATACATATATCACAACAGGCCGGTCGAGGAGAAAAAACTTAAAAAAAAAAACAAACTAGATTCTACTGCGGCTTTTTTCTCTCTCGACTATTAATAATTGATACGAACCAGTTCTCGGGTGATTTTTGAGACGTCCTGGCAAAAAAGTTATATGGTTGGCTCGATAGAAAGTAAAAAAAAAACTAGGAAAAAGTTAAAATAATCCTTATGCATTTGAAAAAGCCGTCCTTCTTGGTGCGAAACATTCTTCTATGTCGAATATGGCACCTCCTATATGACAAAAACTTGCTAAAGAAAATTGCACACGAATAAGAAGAGGAATATTAAACCTCCTTCCTCATCTGCTATTTTCTTCAAGTCTTGCCGAAAGGGAACGCGGGAAATTTAAAGATTCTTTCAAAGTCAACCCGTGGAAATTGATCTTGTTTATGATCAATCGCGATTACTCAATATTGTTTTTCGAAACAAAATCGAATTTCTCTGCTTTCCTTTGTCTTTGACATGACAAATAACAAAACTGTGATCCTACCTAATGCGAAATCGGCGATTTAACCGTTTTGGGTAAATTTACGAACACGTGCATTTTGAGTTGTGACGCAAAGGTTTTTTCATCTCGAGCTATCAGTTTCGTAATAAAAAATAAAAACTTACAAGTCGAGTTCTAAAATCTACTGCAAGTTGGATATACGTCGATAAATTTACGGATATTCAAAAAATTGTTGGACAATTTGAAAAAAATAAATTTTTTGCTGCACTCTCCGAGTTTTACAAACCAACAATAAGAAGGAATATTTGATTAAATAATAGTTTCCAAAAAGTTACAAATGTGAACAAAAATGAACATAAGAGAGAAAAAATAGAAAAATTCGTTAAAAATTCAGTAAAAACTGGTTTTACGAAATTTCGAAAAAAAACCTTTTCCGACTGTCGGCGTACTTTTAAGGTGATTTTGGAAATAAAACACACATTTTGAGCGGAAACACTTCAAAATATCGTTTTTGCTTTATTAGTTCTCGTTTCATATATACTTGAAAGCAAATTGAAAATCAGTTAACGTATTTTTTTAGTCAAACAATAACGTGAATTTTGAATGTTATTCAACGTTTTCTTTCAAATATTTGGGTAAAATGTTGATCAATTTTTTCGTGATTTCAACACAGTTTTTATGTAGCTGCTTCGTAATGTTTATTTAAAAAAACGCTATCATCATCATCATGGGAAAATTCGAGATTCCCAAATATGCAAATGTTTACCACATG